CATGATGCTCTGCTTTCTGTACGAACGCTGCCTTCTCTGCAGGCTTTTCATGCTCAGATTGGAGTTTGCAGGTTGTTGTAAAGTTTGCTATTGTTCTGTGGGACCAAGGGACTAAATAACGTGGCTCCAGAATCCCGTGGTCGTCTCTACATTGGAGTGGTGAGGAGCTGATCCCCGTTTGGTGCTGTGTCTCATAGGTCTTCGACTGGCACCGCCTGGTCCCCCTCACCTGGGCCCATGTTGCTAGGCAGACCCATCGAGGAGAACAGAAAAGGACGCGTCCATCTTTATTGTGTAAACTGACCACAGCCTCCAATGGAGGGGGCCTCAAGAAGTTATCCCATGTGGAATCCGGAACTTACGTGCAGGAACCAGCGTGCAGGATGCGTCTCACTCGGTACTCCCTTGAGAAGCAGAGGACTCCCGTGGCTCCAGGGTTTGTGGAGCGAGAGAAGGTCATCAGTTCCCTCCTGGACATGGGTTTCAGTGACGTCCACATTAACGGATTGCTCCATCTGTGGCCAAGTACACACACTCAACAGTTGCTGGACATCATTTCAGAATTAATACTCTTGGGTTTAAACCCAGAGCCTGTGTACATGGCCTTGAAGCAAAGTCCTCAGTTGTTGAAACTGCCTATAGTGCACATGAAGAAGCGCTCTGGCTATCTGCGAAAGCTTGGTCTTGGAGAAGGTACAAGAAGGCCCTGATTTTATGTCCAGTGCTGAGGAGTTGGGGTTGGGGGGCAAGTAGCCCAGATGGGGTGGGCTAGGGGAGGGTTCTGGGGGAAGTTCTTGAGAGTAATGTGTGGTTTGGCTTGGAGGTGAGAAGCAGTGACCTCTGCAGATGGCACTGCCAGAGGGAATGGGGGCACTTGTCTGGTTTGCTCAGTGTGGGGGCTCTAGCTTCTGGAACATTGAATGGGTGGTGAGCCTGTGGTATGTGCTCGTGCTCAGCAGGTAGAGGTCAGTGTGTGGCAGTAACATTCACGTACCTATGCAGTCATTGATATTTACCTTAGCTTGAAGTGTTGTCTGTACAACGTAAAGCCAAAGGCTTTCTATAAGGTCCCTTGTAAAGATTTGGCTTCCAGTGGAACCTGAGATTGTCCCAGACTCCTAGGAAACAAGAGAAGTGACTAGTCCCCCAATAAGATTCACATCTCAAGGATTCTAGGATTTCGTTGGATCCCCGGGTAGGCCTTGAGGAGAAGGGGGCTAGGAGTCCATGAGGGTCCCAGGGATCCTTATGCACGTTGACCCCAGGAGGGCCACTGTATTGTTTCATTTTTTGATCCCTACTGATAAGATATTGTTGGGGGGGGGGGAGATACTGTTGTTTGGCGGTCTATTTCAGAGGCTTTCAGAAGATAAGAACATAGCCTTATGCGGTTCTCTTGACAGATTGCTTATTGCAGTATAATCTAAAAGGCTAAATTTAATAGTTATATGCTGTGATTATATGTTACGAAGTTTAGCAAAGCCTTCTGCTACAGAGGGAAAATCCAAACTCATGAAAGTCATTCTAGAGACATTTTAGCAAGACAATGAGTAGCTCGTCTGTTAGAAAGATTGTTAATACCAGTTTAAATAAGTGATTTTAAGTTTCCAGGTGCTGAATTTTGCCCAGCTATCCATGGGAAGACCATAGGCCCCAATTTCCCTTCAGTAGTCTCAGTTACCCTAATGTGTTAAGAGGACCTCTTTTGCTCAGTATTGCCCTAATGTGGATAAAAGATATGGTCACCCCACTAATTAGGGCATCATTGTTTTTGGCTGTGCCTCATGAGTATTCTCGTCATTATTGTATTAATAATTATTATCCTGTTAGGGTCCGTAATCAAAGGAGCAAGTCTGATACAAAGCGAAGGTCAAGCAAAGAATCAAACTGACTGGTCGGTTTGATTCTCGATGCTTGGCGTGAAATAAAGCTTTGCTTGACCTTCACTTTGTATCAGTCTCGCTCCTTTGATTACGGACCCTAACAATCGTGGAACACCTTTTCATTGAGTTTGGGCTCCCAGATCTTAGGAACATTGGTTGTCGCTTCAGTGACTGTTTCATTGTGGAACGAAGTGTCAACCTGCAGCCCCCATGTGGGGGAATCTACTATCTCCTACTGTCTGCCCCTTCCATTAGATCCCCTGGGAAATTCTTTAGATGACGAGGGTAAGGGGAGGAAGCCAAGAATAAGAGGTTTATGCCATTCAGCTGGGAGGCCAGTAAGAGGCCTCCTTTTTATACCAGGGAGGGTGTCAGTGAGGAGATGTGTTCTTCTGGCCCCTCCCACTACCATGTGCTCCTGGGCAGGCATTGGAAACCGCCACTCACGGGGAGGAGTGCATCCTCCTTCCCTTTTCAAATGCTGGCTTAGATGTGACAAGCCCCTTGTTCTTCTGGAATATCCTAAAATTATATACTTATCCTTTTTTATGTTCTGCAGGGAAACTAAAGACGGTGCTTCTCTGTTGCCCTGAAATCTTCACCATGCATCAGAGGGACATTGACAGCATTGTTGGTGTTCTCAAGGAGAAATGTCTTTTCACGGTACAACAGGTGACCAAGATTTTACACAGATGCCCCTATGTTCTTCGGGAGGACCCCGGTGAACTGGAATACAAATTCCAGGTGAGGATGACCGGTAGGGGATTTGGGAAGTAACAACACATTCGTTGTAGTGAGGGTCATTTCCATGGAAGAGAAGCCACAGGCACCCTGAGGGCGAGTGGGTGAGCTGAAAAGCTTTGATCCTCTTTGCACATACCAGCCAGAGAGAACCTGGCTCTGGTCTTTCACTTCTTTACAGAAAACCTACCCTGCAACTTTTCTGCTGTTAATAATGAATGACCCAGTCCCATTCCTGGGGTCCAAATGGGGCCTCTCTTTGAAGTAGCTAATTTAAAAAGAGCTAAAAATCTTCCTTTCTTTAGAACATATTCTGCATATTGATTTTGGAAGCATAATTGTGACAATTGTCCTAATTTTGGGGTAACAGTTATGACAACTTAGGTCAAATTGCTAGATGTTTGCTGAATTTTTTGCCTGTTCTTTCAATACTGGTATTTTTTTTTCTGAGAAACAACTGAATTTATCCCTCTTGCCCCTTTATTTTCTGCTAGGTTTTTCTCAATATGAATTTGAAAATGCTTTGAAAACTGTTAGCCATCACACAAACGCAGGGCATCATAGAGAGTCCTGGCATTGCTGGTTGGGCAGCTTTTTTGTGAGTACTTTGGATAGCTTGCATTGATTACAGACAGTGGCAGGACAGGTTGTAGGTTACTGTGCCCGGGACTCCTCTAATTGTGTCTGTCTTCCCAGTATGCCTATTTTAGGATGGGGGTTAAACACTCAGACATGGTGCGGACTGACTTCCTGCAATACTCCATGACCAAGATCAAGCAGAGACATGTGTTCCTCGAGCGCCTAGGACGGTACCAAACCCCTGATAAGAAGGGTCAGACACAGATTCCCAATCCTCTCCTTAAGGACATTCTCAGAGTCTCAGAAGCTGAGTTTCTGGCCAGGACAGCCTGTTCTTCCGCTGAAGAGTTTGAAGTTTTTAAGAAGCTCTTTGCTCGGGAGGAGGAAGAGGGGTCTGAGAGCCACATGCCTTACAGCAAAAGCTTAAGTCTGGATGAGGATGAGAACGAGGATGAGGATGAGGACGAGGAGGAGGACGAGGAGGAGGTCGAAGAGTAACGGGAGGATGGAGTTTGGGAATGAAGAGCCCAGCGATACCAAAGAGTATTATGATTTTCTCAAAGTTTTCAAGAGTTTCACTTGGACGTTGTCATGTTATTTTTCCTTCTAAAACTGGTCTTCTGATGAAACATAAATCACGTGAGAAGTGGGTCAGACTAAATAGGAGCTGCCTTGGTTTGATCTGTTGTTAGGTTTCTGTGGGGGGGCCCTCTTCCTTCCTGTGTGGAAGACAGACTCTGAGCTGTTAAAATCAGGGGACTCAATTACCTCAACATTTGGTTTTGTTTTTTTCCTCTGTTGATATGTGATAACTTCATGACAGTGTGGGGAATGGGGTTCTTGCCTCTGGTTCAAGTGTCATTTTACATTTCCTTATAGTGATAAAGATAAAATTATGAGTAGGCACTGAGGTTTTAATACATCACAGCACTTTATTTTATGCAAACAAGTAGCAGGTTTTCCCCAAAAACACTTGTGTTTTTAATCCACAAATACTGCTTCATAATTGTGTTCAGTGTACAGCATTGTCAAGGAAGGTGGTTAGTGATGGTTTCATTTTGCACAGCTGCTTAATGCCAGCTGAGTGTTCGGGTACTTTTCTCTCTCTCTGGGAAGAATGGGCCCTGGCTCTGACCTTTCAGGGAAGTTGGCTTTGCTCCTGGCTTGTGGGCTGTCTGCAGGCCCACAGTTTTTGGTTGCTAGTGAGTGCTGCCCTGGAGTGTGCCAGAATGGGAGGGGGTTGGGGGGGCGGTGTCATCCAGTCACCTCCCCATTGCCCATCTCACAGAGGCAGCTTCTGAGACTGGAGGAGAAGAGCACTTGCACAGGGTCTTTGAGCGGGGTGGGGCCTGGTGTCCTTCAGGGAGCTCCCAGGACACTGGTGGTGGGAGTCCCCTTGGGAAACCGGGGGTGCTGAGGGGTGATTTAAAGAGTTGGGTTGGGGGTAGATTTTGATGTTAGTTGTCTCTGAGGTAGAGGCCCAGCCCTCATGGCATGGGCTCTATGAGGGAGGACTGGTGCACCCCAGAATGTCCTGGGCATCCCTTCCTTGAGGGGGGCTGGTACATGGTTGTTGATACAGAAAGCATTTTTGGTTATGTGACCAGAATCCAGGACTTGACAGCATTTTAACAACTAGGTAAAACCGCCTGGCCTTATTTTCCCTGCAGAGACTGAGTAAGAGTCTTGTCAGGCAGCAGTTTCCACCTGGAGTGACCTTGACCCCAGGGAGCATCCAGCAACATCTGAGGACGTTTTTGGTTGTTAGGACTGAGGGAGGGTGCCATTGGGGTCCTGCGGTGCACAGGGCAGCCGCAGACAGGGCCGTGCAGCCTGAAACATCAGCAGTGCTGAGGCCTAGGAGCTGCCTGATGGCCTGGTGCAGCAGAATACAGTTATATGGGTTTGTGGGAATGTCCGATTGGAAGCAGGCTGACACCGTTTTTGTTTTGTTTAAAAGAAAGTAAATAACTGAGTTTTTAAGTTCCTTTCCCGTGTTTACCAGAATGCTGCTGGGAGCTGTGAGCTGTGTTTACTGTGGGGATTCAGCACTCAGGTGTGGATGCTTTTATTTTTTTCTGGGCTTATGTTCTAGCATGATGGCAAAAAGAAAGACATTTTCTGCAAAAGAAAAGTAGCTCAGTGAATCCCGGTGTGTGGGAGTGAGATGTGGCAGGAGGCAGCCACGGGAAGAGCCCCGGCTGAGGGAGGTGCCTGTTGGGCTTGCCGGTGGGAGAGCTGTGGCATTGGCACAGGTCTCCTCACCCGCCTCTGTGACAGCCCACATGCAATGGGAAGGAAGGCTTTTTCTTTACTGGTTTTCTTGGCCATGGGCAAAATTATTAAAGATGAAGACATTTCAATCTGCCACTGTTTTCACTTACTCTTCCATCTTGTGGCGTTCCCAACCGACCGACACTTTCCGTGGAACCTCAGATGGGTTCTTATGTCCAGTTGGGGGACTAAGAATTATAAATTTGCATGATTAGCGTGGCTAACTTAGCAACTCATGATTGCTCCTTTCATTTTGATAAGGAAATGAATTTTTATGCACCTGAGAATTTTGATTGCATTAATATTAATTTCCTTGGGTAGAGTTTGTATGTTTGAGGAAGACGCTGGAGTTTTTGAAGGGATTTTGTGAAAAAAGCAGTGTCTCATTTAGAATGTTTCCAGGATGAATTGTAATTCCTTTGCATCACGAAGTCTTTTTACTAGATATCTAATTTGTAAAACATCGAGAGGAGTTAATCATAAGACAGCACAGCACCAAGCTCAGGATTCAGTAGACTGTTTCTTGTAGAAACAAATGTTTCTAAGTTAAAAACTGGAACACATTAGTGTTCTCATGGCTGAGGGGTTGAGGTCATTAACATCATAGTAGAGTTTCATCTATTTTTCCAGTGATAACACTTGATCTTGCCACTTGCTAGCGATGCTGTAGCTTACATAGACACACAGTGACTGGTCCTGGCGACACAGCAAAAGTCAGCAGTACACATGCATGGCCATGGTGTTCTCTCGACTCGCCCAGTACCGGTGCCCCGGACTGAGCACGGCCGTCTTCTCCGGGTGGGCCTGGGACGCCGGGGGCGCTATAGGTACAGTAGAGACTTCTTGAAATGATGGTTCCTCCTCTCTGAAAACAAATTGTGTAAAACACAGACATGTGCACACAAAATTTTAATAAAAAGCCTAAAATATACTCTTAACTCTTCCAACAACGTTTTTATAAAAGATGAGAAGGCGCGCCGTCTGTGGCTGTAGGGCTCACTTGGGACAGAGTCCGTGGCAGATGCGTGGGGGCTTGAGTCAGCTGCTACGATGCTCTGCGGACTCGAGGTGGGGTTGGCTTGCATGGCTTGTGCCTCCTCTGCAGGGAGAAGCCAGAGTGGTCAGAAGCGTGTGGGGAAGCCCCTGCGGCAAGCCAGGGCCACATTCTGCTGAAGAGGGAAATGTGTGAAAGACCACGCTAGCCGACAGCCTGGACTAGTGCCACTCGAGTCAAGGACTGAAGCAGTCTTGAGCTGGGACGGGTCTGGCCTGCCCCGATCGTCCATCTCCATGGTGTTCAGGCTCTGCATGGGTTGGGGTGTCGTGTTGTGCTTCTGTGAGGCTCGGGGCTCTTGGTGCCGTGCCGTGACTTGTCATCGGTGTGGGGGTGGGTAGCTTTCTCTGCATAAGTCTGAGGACTGGGTGACTCGATAGACCAGGGCTTGGCCAAGTGTGGCCAGGAAATTTGCCCCCTCGTTTAGTAAATGTGGTTTCACTGGAACAGCCACACCCTTAGGGTCACTTGTCTGTGACTGTGGTTGTGTCACCAGTGCCGAGCTGAGTAGTTGCCACAGAGACGGGTTGGTCCACAAAACCTAAAATAGTCACTGAGAAAAAGTTGAAGACTAAAAAGTGTCTAAACTCCGTCTTAGTATGAAAGAACACTTTGTCTTTTGTAATCTACTGGTCCATGTGATGGGGCTGTAGTCCACCACATATCAGCACAAAGAATTTGCTGGAGGAGAGTTGGGTGGGGCGCCTAGAACTTGGCTTCCCTTTCTGTCTGGCCTCACCACCAACCCTTCCTGACACCACTGTCTCCACTGTGGAAGCCAGAAGGCAGTTCGTCTCAGTTTGATTGTTAGGTCTCAGGCGGAAAATTGCCCTCTGACTTTGGAATCTGAGAACTGGTTCCTGGATGCTGCAGGAGCCTTGCTGGCTGGCAGCCCTGCTCATCCAGGGCCCAGGTGCACATGGCAGTTGCTCCCTGGCCACGGTGCAGACTGTCCCTGTAGGAGATGGCAGCCAGGGCTACAGCACAGGCTGTTCCATGCATTGCAGGACTGGGAGGTGATTTGGCCCAGAGGGTCTCCCTGGTGTGGCCTTGAAGGGAGGTGGGCTGGACCCTGCCTGGCCTGGCCGTCCATCTTCTAGAGAGAAGCCTCAGAGGGGACAGATGCGAGCCAGGACCTGGTCTTTCAGGGTGTCCTTTCAGTCCAATTTTAGACCCCGCCTTCCTGGGCTTTAGGAGCTCATGAGGTTGATGGAGTGTAACAAGAACGTCCCGAATCCCTTGAAGAGAAAAGAGACTGGGGCATGAGGAGAATGACACCCATTCCTCTTTAAAACGCAGCTTCAGCTTATCTGAGCAGCCCTGGGTTCCTGCCTCTAGTGTGGCTGTGGACAGGAGGGAGGTGTGCTGAGAGCATGGACTATGTGGCCCAGGGCCGGGGACATTGGGGGAGCATTGCTGCTGTTAATGCTGAAAGCTTCAGGCTGCTCCCCTTCCAGCTGGCCATGCCCTTGGATCCTTCCCCTGAAGACCGGGGCTGCCCCTTATTGCTCTGGGTTGAAACGAATTCCAGTTTATTTGCATTTGCTCCATTGTTCCAAGAATGGGTATTCTAAAAGCTAGTATTTGATAATTTGGTAGTTGAGGTTTTCTGATTTGTTTTTATAGAAATGGATTTGCTAAGTTGGAAAAATAAAGGTATTGCTGTTTCAGGTGACTTACTGTGATAGAAATATTTGAAACCCAAATTATGTTTGTGGGTTCTTAATCCTAGTAGTGGATTATTTATGAGCTGTGGAGCATATTTTGGATTTGTGTGTCTTGGGAGCATAAGGTGGGAGGGGAAGTAATGTCTTTTGAGGATGCAGGAGCTGAACACAGACTTTTGGAAAAATCTGCCAGGGGCTATTTGCCAAGGCCACACCCCGCAGATCCCAGCCTCAGCCTTCCCCGCTTGGCTGGTGCAGATGTTCTTCATGTGGGTCAGCCTATATCTGTGAAGCTCTTTTGCTTCAGCTTCTTTGTAAAGGTTCTGAGTAACATTTCTTCCTCATCTCCTCAGCCCCATAAGACAGTGTAGCCTGTTCCTGAAGCTGCTTGTTCCCCAGGGTGCCTCACTGCCCTCTCAGCACCAGGAATATGGACTACTTTGAGGCTCATTTATGGAGTGGAAGGCGGAAGCTGCCTTAGGCCAACTCAGTTCCCCCCTTGTTCCCTGTGACATCATGCTGACAAGAAACTGTGCTCAAGTGGGCACCTTTAAATTATAAAACACTTGCTTAAAAAATCCGCAGAGAGGGGCGCCTGGGTGGCTCAGTGGGTTAAGCCTCTGCCTTCAGCTCAGGTCATGGTCTCAGGGTCCTGGGATCGAGCCCCACATGCGGCTCTCTGCTCAGTGGGGAGCCTGCTTCCTCCTCTCTGCCTGCCTCTCTGCCTACTTGTGATCTCTCTGTCAAATAAATAAATAAAATCTTAAAAAAAAAAAAAAAAAGAAACTGCGCTCAATGTGAGACTGAGTACAGGTGGTGGGTGGGTCGCCATGATTCAACCTAGTATCTCCCTGACTGTAATGAAGACTTTGACAGAGTTTATTGGGTGTGGGGGGGTAGGGGTTGGAGGGTGTTGAGTTGCCAGAAGACTTTGGGAAATGCCAGATTAAGCAGGAATAGAGTTAGAAAGTTTCTTTCATTTCAGGATTCCAGTGTTCAGGATTCCTGTGTCTGTTGGGAATTCTCTAGTGGGAGAGTCTTCAGGATTTCTCCAAAGTTATGTGATCAAGGCCCCACACCCCAATTTTTCTTTTGATAGATTGCCATTCTCAGGGTCTGGGAGGCCCTCCCTTGAACCCCCGCACTCCTATATCTGGGCATCCCGGGCCCATCCCACGGTCCTCTCCCCACTCCTCCCCTGCTGCCACCCCTTCTAGATGCCCTTCTCAGTCCCACCTCCATGAGTACTTAGCCCCTGCGCCCACCTCCAGCTGTTGCTGCTGATGGGAAAGGGTTTCTCCGTTTGCTTGGAGTCAGTGGGATTCGTCCTTACCCCTAGATGGCCTCATTTCCACTTGGAAATGCATCTGTGCCTGGTTTATGTCTACTGGGAGGCCTTAGGTATTTTTTTTTCTCTCCCATTTTAACCCCCTCAGGGAATTCTGAAACTCCTGGTCTGGGAGTTTGTAATAAAGAGGGCACAGCTGAGCTCCCCAAGTAGACAGCAGCCCTCCTGGAGGCCACATGCTGGGACAGCCGCTCTAGCTTTCCCGCAGCTCTGCCAGCCGTGGTGGGGAACGTACCTGTACCCTAAGATTTCTTCAGTGTTGGACTGTTACTGTGTTTCCTGAAATAGAGAAAGGTGGCTTATGAAAAAGAGATATACCTGGAACCCAGGCTGCCTGCTGGTGTCCTGTCTTTGCTTCATATATATTCCATTTTGGGGAGCACCGTCAGTGAGACACTGATGCAGAGATTAGCATTTTAGTCTATGTGTGTCCCCTTGGCTGGCTGTAAGTCATGGGAATGAAAGCAGGGTGTAGAAGAAGGAAAGTTGAAGAGACAGGTACCGCGCTAGGTCAAGCAGGTGTTGAATTGCTTCCCCAGGCACTCAGGAATGCAAGCCCTAGGGGGTGTGGCTCCCAGTGGGTCTGTGCAGAGTGACTGGGGTGAGGAGTCTGCTGTTGGGAAGGCCCCCAACACATTCATGCGGCACATTATGTAATAATTCCTGTGACTCCCTTGAGCCCTCTGGGGAAAGAACCTGCCTGTGAGTGAGTAAAAAATAGAGATATACTATATATACAGTTATATACTTGGCATCTGTCAGTAATGTTCCATGCTTCCCAATTCTAGCACCAGAGTGACCCCGAGCACCCACCATGTGAGCCCCTCTCAGTGTGCACCTTGTGATCCCCTCCTAGCACCCAGTGTGTGACCTCCCCCCAGCATCCACTGTGTGATTACCTTCCAGCGCCCACCGTGTGATCCCCTCCCGGCACCCACCATGTGACCTCCCCCTGGCACCCACCATGTGATCCCCTCCCAGCACCCACTGTGTGATCCCCTCCCAGCACCTACCGTGTGACCCACCCCCCATGATCCACCGTATGACTCCCCCAGCACCCACCATGCCCAGCTATACTGATCTGTATGTGTTCAGATGTACAGGTATGTGCTATGCAGGGCTACAAATTTGCACAGACAAGACAGCCTGGCTTGGCCCACAGGACTGTGGCTCCCCACAGTGTTCAGTCCCAAGCCCCCCTTGCCCTGCTACCCTGTGCACTACAGGCTGGACACATTGTGGGCCTCCGCCCCGAGATGGCACCTGTTTGGGGTTTTCTTGACGCTTGTGCTTTCACAGCTCTCTTTGAAGCAGATGTCCTGATGCACTTTGTAGACTCTTTTGTACCTGTGTCACAAGAAAGTTGTGTAAAGCTGGAAACTAGAGTAGAGTGTTGCCCAGCTGCTTCAACTAGGCTACTTGCACCCACCAGTCACTGTGCAGGTGTTTGACGGAAAGGCTATTTGTTTCCTACTAAAACTTTACCTCATAGGGATGTGTTAAAATGTCCAACATGAAAGTCATGTAATTAAAAAAAAATTAACTTCACTAAGGTATGATTTACATAAGATATATCCATTTTGAGTTTACATTTTGAGGAGTGTGGACAAAATATGATATTAAGAGACAAAATAAGAGATTTCGAGGACATGTCCCGCTTGAGACAGTTCACTCAGCGGTGAAGACTTGAGACAGCGCAAGGTCACTCCTGGGTCCTATGGGTAGTTCTTGGAGAAGTTGGAGAGTCCTGGAGATGTAGGTGTTTGATGTGTACAGTGCAGACTTCTAGCCCCTCCTCCCATTTATTAATTAGTCCCCTTTGTGTCTCTGGAACTTAGACCTCAGTTTTGTGTGGAATGGGAATTACTCATACTACTTCTCTCATAAATTTGTAGATGTTAATGAACAGGGAATTATTTCTGTTCTTGTTAAAGCTCTCAAATGTCAGAGCTGTTGAAAAGAGAGATACAGGGAGTTTGATGGGCAAAGCTCCAACTCATGCTCAGTCTGGGACAGCCCATGGGATTTAAGGCCTTTGGTGAGACTTCTGCTTTTGGTCTTCAGGGAGTAACAGGATTTGGAATTAACCCCCCAGTTTGAACAACCAGAGAATTGGGCAAAATATTAAAAGCAGTTCTTTTCAGATGTTAGAAAGCAGTGCGAGATTATGATTCTTGAGAGAAGGGAAACAAATGAAATGAGCTCTGTGATCTCCCTAGAGTTTGGTCCAGAAGCACTTTTTGGATTACATTGCAGGGTGGTTGAGGGGGCGAGAGGGTGGGGTGGAAGGCAAGCAAGGGTCACAGTGAGCTGAGGAGGCAGAGGCAGCTAGAGTGTGTGGGGCACTGGGGAGGAGGGAGCTATGCAGAGGAAGAGCTCCTGAGGCCAGTACAGGGATCCCTTTGAAGATGAAACTGTGCACACATAGGGGAGAACCCCATGAGGCTGGGCAAGGAGAACTATGGAGAAGCTAAACAGCTGAGTTACTGCAGGCCATTCATGAACTAGAAACTCCAGAAAGGCCATGGCTTAGAAGTGGAGCAAAATTAACCCAGAATTAAGGTTAAACCACCCTAAAAGGCCTCCAAAGGACCAGACTAAAATTAACCATCTTGGAGAACAAAATGAAACATTTTGGGAAATAAACATAAAACTTAGCATTCAGGACCAAAATGTTAAAAGGTCCATCATCCAACAAAAAAATGACAAGATATTCAAAGGCTCATACAAAGCCTTAAGAAAGTGTGACCCATAGGCAGCAAATAGTAATTAAATAGACACCCAGAGTTGAGAGCAATGGCAGGAACAGCAGACAAGGCCCTTAAAACATGTGTTAAAGATTTGGTACCACCTGTTCAGTGATCTGAAGGAAAATAGAAACAATGGGAAGAGAAATGGAGGATCCAAGAAAGGACTAAATGGAATTTCTAGAGATGATTAACACCCAGAGTGAGATGAAGGTCTCGCGGAATGGAGTTAGTGGCAGGTTATAAAGGCAGGGCAGAGAACAGACCACAGGATGCGAAGGCCCCGCTGTGGAATCAAGGCACAACTAAGTAGAGAGAAGGGTGGCCTCAGTCTAACACCTGCATGACTGGAGTTGCAGGAGAGGAGAGAAATGAATGGATGGGAAAAATGCCTGAAGAACTAATGGCCCAAATTTTCCAGAGTTGATGAAAACCAAGGCCCCAGAGACAGAAGCTTAACAAAGTCTTGTGAGCAAAATCACGTACACATCCACGGCAGAGCGCATCATGGTTAGTTTCCCAGCAATGGTAGTAAAGAGACATCAGAGCAGCCACGGGCCGGGGCATACACGCTCGCAGGTGAGAATGAGCACAGCTATGCCAAGGCAGAAAACAGGCACTCCCGAGTGCCAAGAAAAAACAGTTCTCAGCCAGGAATTCTATACTCGGCAAATATATCCTTCAAAAATGAAGGTGAAACAGAACCCTTTACAGACAGACCAGAGCAGAGAGGGTTCATCACCGGCAGACCTGCACTATACGAAAAGTCACAGTGAGTTCTGGAGGCAAAGGCCAGTAGTACCCAGGGGCATCTCAGGTCTGTAAAAGAGTGCCAGGTGCTGGGAATGGTAAACACGGACTAACAAAAGACATTCTACTCGGCAGTGTTTACAAAGATAACTGTCTTTGGGGAGCAAACATACCATATAATGTGGGTCATAGACTATGAGTGAGTAGCGCATCTGGCTTCGAGAGCTGGGTGCACGAGGGGAAGTGGAGCCCGCTACTGCAGGATCCCTTCCAGGACACTGAGGTCAGAGAACAACAGCAAATGGATATTGTGGGGGGTTGAAAGTATACTGCAAATCCCACAGCAGCCACTAGAAAGTTAAACCAGACAAGTATAACCAGTGAACCAACAATGCTGGCAAATCAGAAGGCTAAGGAAGAATTAATCCCAATGTAGGCAGGGAAAGAGAAATAAAGGAAAAATGGTCAGATAGGACACATAGAAAGCACCCAGCAATGTGGTGGATTTAAACCCAATCACATCATCATTATAGTAACAGGTAATGGTACAGACACTCCAGTAAAAATCAGAGATGTCAGATATAAAGCAAGACCCAACTATGTGCCAAATACAAGAGAGTGATGTTCAGACCCATATGCGTTAAAGTGAAAGTATGAAAAGCTGTTGACAGGGCCTGGGCTCTTGTCATCAGGCTTGGTGGTCCTAGTGGGTCACTTAGCAAGCACTGGGGTCACTGGCACAGTTGGAATATAGGGGGCGCTGTGGATTAGGGCTGCCATTCCACAGAACCCAAATTCAGATGGTCTGTGCACATGGATCCTCAGAGCCCAGTGCAGATCAGGATGTATTTTTCTGTGCTAAGTCTGGCTTCATGTCCAAGTTTAAATCAAGCCTTCTACCTGGGTTTCCTACATCCCATTCAGAGTGACCTTCAGACAAAATCGAACAGCTCACTCCTCTGCTCGGCATCCTTAGTAGCTCCCATTTCAAAAGAACATATGCTAGAATCCTTCTAACGGCCTCCAAAGCCCTGCGGGGCTCTCCCTGCCCTACCCAACCACTGCTCCCCCTTGGTCTCCTCCAGCCCCACTGGCCTCCTTGCTGCTCCTCAGATAAGCAGACATGCTCCTGATCTTGGGCCTTGGCAGCTGACAGTTTGACTTTCTGGAAGGTTCTTCCTTCAGATATCCCCTCCATGTCTGTTCAATGTTTTTATGAGAGTTCCCGACACCCTTTTGAATGCTGCAGCTGGCCTTCCCTGTCCCCAACCCTGGCTCTTCTCCGCCCACCTATTCATCTCTTCCTTTTCCCCAGCCCTGACCACTTTCTAGAACACTGTGTAATGTCCTTCTGCTCCCTGTGTTCTGCCTCCCATGTCCAGGGTGTACAGGTTGCAAGGGCAGGGCTTTGGCCAGTTCTGCTCACTGCCATGTGCTGAGTGTCTAGAGCTGTGCCTGGCACATAGTAGGGGCTGATAAGAATATGCTGACTGAATATATTGTAAGTGTGAACCACAGAGTCACAGAGTGTTAATAAGGAAGGTCCTACATGGTGAACTAGGCAAGCTTTCCCTGTACAGCCCATTTTACAGATGGGGAAAATGAGGCATGAATGTCATGACTTAATGGCAGGGTGAAGACTCAAGTTCTCCTGTGCTGTTGTTGATCTTTCCAGGGGGCTCTGAGGGAGAGAGGAGAGGAATGTCATTTGCTGACATTGATGTACTCGTGGCCCTGCCATCCACTGGAGAGGGACTGATGCCATTTGAGGGTGTGGGAAAGGAAGGCCCCAGGGCTCAGCCAGGAGACTGGCGTTCCCTGCATAGGTTCAGGGCCTCAGTTTCCTGATTCATCAGCTGGAGGGAATGGGTACAAGCCCTTATATCACCATGACCCCTAGAGCTCCTCAGTTCTTGTGAGGGTGGGTGAACTGGACTTCATGAAGGCACTTCTCTGGAAGTCAAGAACTTCCCACGAATGTGGTGAAATCAGGAAAGAAACTTACATGTGGTGACAGGCGCCTCCTTCCCAGACCGGCACGGCCTTTGTCTCTGAGAAGAGCCGAGTGCAGGGCTGGGGCACCTTTTTACAGGCTGCCGGCACAAAGGAAAAGGGGCTTACAGGAGCACCATGCTGAGCAAGTGCTCTTCCTGCACCCCAGGAGGGCGCCCTTCCTGCAACTGTGGGGTGCTTGAGTCCCTTAGGGCTGGGAGGAGTCTGACAGGCCGCAGGATGGTGCAGCTGGTATGGGGGCTTTTGTCCACCCACCTCCCATCTTCAGTCCCACGTTCTTAGAGAGGGAGGCCTGTGGCTCTTTCCGTCTTACCACCATGTCTGGCCCCCAAAGCAAAGAGCCCCCTGCACCCACCTCTGGCTATGGGGCGCTCCATGTCCCTTGCTTTCTGGCTGCCCCCACACCCCCTGCTTGTCTGGGCAGCTTCGGGGCGGTGAGAGGCCGAATGGCTCACTGCCTCTGAATATCCCTACCTGGGCATTCGGAAGTCTGGGGCACTGAGGCTGGGCCCCTGTCCTGGCATCTTGAGGTTTGAGGTCCTTGTGGCAAACCCACTCTAGTAGGCCTAGCACAGCCTGTTGTGACAGGTGTCTTGAGGCATAGGCCCCTGTGGTCCCCACAGGAGGGAGTGGTCCCCGACTTACCAAGCTCACAGCGTCTGCCTTTGAACCCTGGGTTGCAGTCACAGCTGTGGGTGTCCATACCTGGCACGCAGGTGCCTCCATTCTGACAGGGATTTTCTGAACAGTTCCCAGGGGTGTCTGTGAACAGGCCATGAGCAGTTAGTTGTCAGGACTCCAGAAGGCAGCCTATTAGCATTCCCATTTCTCTGTGCCCCTCTCTCTTGTTAAAGAATTTCAAAGCAGTTCACAGAAACCATTTCACCTATAAATACAGCAAGTATCTAATATGTACAGACTTGACAAACTTTTATATAAGCACAACTCTGTTATTGTGAAATCAGCAGTAGCTCCTTAGTACCATAAGAAATGGCAATCCTTGTTCAGGTTTCCCTGATCATCTTAAAAATGTCATTTCCAGTGGTCTGATCTCATTAGGATTCTTAAGTACCCACTGCCATAGTTTGATGTGTCTCTCTTTTAATCTGTAGCTTTTCATTTTCCTTCCCTCTGCATTTATCCCCCCGCCCCCTTAAAGAAACCAGGTCATTTGTCCTATAGAATCCCTCTCCTGGATTTTACCTAATGCTTTCTTGTAGCATTAACTCATCCCCCATCTCCACATTTTCTGTAAATTGATGATCAGAGAGAGGGGCTTGATAGGATTCAGGTTCAAGCAGTCTTTGCAAGACCACTTCACCCTTCAGCCACTCCAGGAGGCGCGACAGGTCTCCAGTTCCAGTTTTAGTGATGTGAGAACTGATTGTGAGTTTAGCATTGGCAGCCTGATTAATCCAGGAGGAAATTCTGATAGGCTCTGCACCTGATGGCTTGAGCAGCCACAGAGATCTTGAGTCTAGGTCACACATCCATCATCTAACCCAGCCTGTCACTCTTCTGTCTCTAGCCAGAAAGTCTTCTATGAAGACCTTTTTTCCCTTGCCCACCACCTGGTCACACTGAATTATAATCCATCCAGGCAAGGCCAGACAAATGCTTCATTCCTGTCCTTTATTTGTACACTTAGAAAGTAAGCATTGGTCCCCAGCCAGCTCTAGGGACCAGCACGTTGTGCTTTCTTTCAGCATTATCATGAACTCAGATTCTTACATATTTGATGGGGGTCAGTTGGCTGCTGCCATTAGTCTTTTTGATGGCCCAGGTACCCATCCTAAGCCTGTGGGAGTCTTCCAGGTTGACTCCTGTGCCCTTTAGACAAGATCCCTATTGTTTTTGAAAAGCTTGATTGTTTTACAAGTATGTCCTGGGCACATTTTGTCCATATTCTGCTTCAGGCTTTGAATCAGCCACTTCTCAAAGACCTCTGGTTCCTTTTATTGGGCATCTAGAGCCCATAGTCTGGGTGCCTAAGGTGCTTACTGCTCCTGGGGTGGTCAGTGCCTGGGGACTTTTTAGTAGAACTAGGAACTTAGATTTTAGAATAAATATAAGCAAATTGTGAATTTATATCAATAGTTAAGGGAAACACAGGCCTTTATTTCCTTGATTTTTTTTTTAATTTAAAAATTTTAAAAAAGATTTTATTTGAGAGAGAATGAGCATGGGAGGGGGGCAGAAAAGGAAGCAGACTCCCCGCTCAGCAAGGAGCCCCATGTGGAGCCCGATCCCAGGACCCTAAGATTATTGAGCGTCTGAAGGCAGATGCTCAACCGACTGGGCCACCCAGGCACCCTTTAACTTCCTTGATTTTATATTGTGTCTCTTTACACTGAAAATCTTGGTGACATTGATACAATTATTTTCATTACCCACAATGTACTTGTAACAGTTCTAAAAAAATTACCAGCATTACTACGAGTATTAAGAGCTTTGAGTGCCACTTTAAATTTCTTGCAATCCTTGTAATAAGTTATTAGAATATATCCCTCTAGGAATGAATGACTAGAAGGCTATTTTTAAAATCACTTGAGATACCTTTTTCCTGTGTGGTTATGCCATCAACAGGAGAACTGAGTTTATTGCAGTTTCTTTTCAATTTTTAGGTGTTGCTTTTTATGTGTGTCATGGAAAATTTTCTCCTTGGTTTTAAAATCTAAAATACAGAGATGCATTCAGAGAAGTCTAGCATCCATCTCCATACTTTTACTTCCTTGTTCTTTCCTTCCTCATATAACCATTTTTTATTAGTTTTACTTCTTTTAAATACAAGAATATAGGTATATTTATATTTCCCTTCACCACTTTCCTATACAAAGGGGATACCTTTGACACATGACATTTTAAAAACCATTTTGTTGAGATAGAACTTAAATACCATATAATTCACCCATTTTAAGTTCTTAACATATTCAAGATATGTACACCCATCACAGTAGTCAATTTTGGAATGTTTTTATCATTTTGGAAAGGAACTGCCTACCCTTTAGCTGTCACTCTCCGTACCCTCACCCCCACCCTCAGTGTCAAGCAACCACTGATCTACTTCCTGTCACTGTAGATTTCCCTATTCTGGACTTCCATAAGAATGGAATCATATGGAGTCCTTTGTGACTAGCTTCTTTTACTTATGATGTTTTCAAGGTTCATCTTATCTTATAGCCTGTGTCAGTACTTCATATGGTGGGATAATGGTCCATTGTGTGGATAGACTTGTTTTGTTTATCCATTCATTAGTTGGAGGACATTTTGGTTGTTTCCATCTTTTGGCAATGGTGCATGATGCTATTATGAAAATTCATGTACAAGTCCCTGTGTGGGCATCTGTTTTCATTTCTCTTAGGTATATACATACCTAGGAGTATATACCTAGGGATTTTCTGGGTCATATGATAACTCTGTGTTTAATTCTTTGAGGAAGGACCAGACTCTCGTTTACCCCAAAGCAGTTGTACCGCTCTGCATTCCCACCAGCAGTGTTTGTAGTTCTAGCTTCTACACATCCTCACTGTGCTCGCTGCATCTCTTCATTCGAGCCATCCTAGCTGCTGTGAAGTGGCATCTCACTGTGGTCTTGATTAGCATTTCCCTGATGACTGATGATGTCAGTCATCTTTTTCATGGGCTTCTTGGCCATTTGTGTATCCTTGGAGAAACAAATGTTCAGATACTTTGCCTATTTCTTAATTGGGTTATTTTCCTTTTATTCAGTCACATGAGTTACTTACATATTTTACATACAAATGTCTTTCAGGTATATGATTTGCAGATATTTTCTCTCATTCTCTGGGTTGCCTTCTCACTCCCTGATGGCATCCTTTGAAGCACAAAAACTTTAAACAGTGTCTTTTTTTTTTTCTCTTTTGTTGCTCATGCTTTTGGTATCATATCTAAAATCTTTTGCCACACTCAAGGTCATGAAGATTTACACATGTCTTTTCCTAAGAGTTTTATAGTTTTAGTTGTTAGATTTAGGTGTTTGACCTGTTTTGAGTTTATTTTGTATATGGTGTGAGGTAGGGGCCTGACTTCATTTCTTTTGCATGTAGATATCCAGTGTTCCCTTCCTCCACTGAATGGTCTTGGCCCCTTGTTGAGATCAGTTGACCACAGATGTATGGGTTTATTTCTTGACTCAATTCTATTCTATTTATCGTAAGTCTGTCCTTCTGCCAGTTTCTCACTGACCTGATTACCATTGCTTTGTAGTAAGTTTTGACAATAGGGGGTCAAATAGGACATGGAATTTAGACACTATAAACAACTGTCCAGAGATATTTTATGACAACCTTACAGAACATGGCAGTGTGCAGGGGTATTTAGAACCTGTGAGCCTGTGCCAGCAGTCCTCACCCTTTGTAACTGGGACACCAGGCTCAGAGTCTGACTGATAATTTGTTCCACTCATGGGCAGCTGAGGCCTGAAGCCTGCAGTTCCTGCAGCAGTGGGGTTTCTCCCAGGGCACTGCCCACTATAGCCTCACCCTGTGTAGTCAGCCCCCCTAAGTCTGAGTTTGTTATAAAATGCATGCCCATTAAAGTAAAAACAAAAACAAACAAAACATAGATGGCTGTTTTGAACAGGGTAGGAGACAGGGATATGGCTGCAGTCTGGAGTGGTGGCAGTGGGTGGCTCCTATGTGACAATAAGTTACAGAGTAAAGAGGTTTAAGTTCTGCCCTTGCCTGCTGTTGGCCAAGGATGGAAACTACCTGCCTCTGGTGTCCAGGGGATAAAACCAGGAGAGTTCCAAAGCCCTTTTGGGGTGAGGATTGGGGAAAACAGGAAGAATTTGACTAGCCCTAGTGTCCACTCCAGATCTCCATGGTTGGCAGGTTATATATAATCTTGGGAACCCTCCTCCTCTCCATGAGCTACCATGAGCTGTGGCATACCAAAGGTCCAGCCTTAACCTGGGAGTTGCTTGATGAGAAAACTCCAGTCAAGAGTGTTAATTGTGCTCTTTGGGTGTCTAGGGCTCTCTGGAGATCCTCCTTTCCATGAGAAAGAAAAGTCTAATAGCTCCCAGAGAAAATAGGCAGATACCCTACAAGGAAACAAGAGCAAGACTGACACACATGGAGAGCAACACCGGACAGAAGATGACAAGGGAAGTGTTCGAAGAACTGAAGGTAGAGGACCTCTGAACCTCGAATTTTATACCCACTCCAATTGCCCTTCAAACGTGAGAGCTACTAAGTATTTTCAGGCATATAGGGCCTCAAACATTTGGCCATGTAAAGTACCAATAAGTACTTTGATGGGACTTGATGATTGTAAACTTTTATAGGAGACCAAGAGCAGGTGACACTGCGGGATGGCAAACCTCCCTAAACATAGTGCCATCAAAACCCCTGGTGTTGGCTCTAGGAAGTCCAAACAGTGGATCAGAGCAGTGGACCCAGAGCCTTTGGTCAATATGAATGAAAGATGCTTGATTGTATCAGCATCCAAGAGACACAAATCCAGACCCCAAAGGGCGCCCTTCACACCCATGCTGCTGGCAGGATCTGGAAACCCATCAAGATCAGGTCTGGAGAGACTGGATTAACCACATCTCTTGATCATGGCTGGACAACTGTCAACTGATGTCCCCACTTAGAAAACAATTTAGTGTCTTCTTGTGACTGGGGCTTTCATACATCCTATTCCCTAGTATCTGTATTGCATACGTCCCAGAAGACATATGTAAGAAGAACAGAGTGGCCCAGACACCATCTGAGCTGAGCAGACGAGGCCGTGGTGAGGTTACCGGCAGACCAGATGCTCAGTTGGGAATAAGCGAGCTGCGTCCACACACAGCAGCACTGATCAGCTTCACTGCAGACATGCAGTGAGAACACAGGTCAGGGAAGCTGTAAACAGCCAGGCTCTCACCTTGTAACAAGAAACCTACAGTTGTTCAGGCACACGTGGATATGTAGCGAGAGCCCTCTTCCTCACTGCCCACCCTACAGCAGAGCAAAGGGACCGTAAACACGAAATCCAGGCTCGAGGTAAACAGGGGGACAACAGCAAGATACGAGTTCCTACTCATGTTCTAGTTCATGGGTTCCAGATCTAAAGGCCATTATCTTATCAAAAGCTAACTTACTAAAAAAAAAAAAATGCTAACTTACTAAACTAAATAAAAGGTGCTGTCATGGACCCATATCAGATGTAACAGGAACAAAAAACCATGATTCACTGGGTGCACCTGGGGGCTGTTAATGATTTTTTCCCCCTATTTATCACCTAAAATCACTTTTGCCCATCCCCTGGTCAGCCTGCATCCCTTATGTTAGCAAACACTGCAGACTACAGGGACATCTGGGGCCAGTCTGGTACCACCTTGAACCTCTCCTCCAGAAGGCACCCAGGAGAGGTCATTCACATCCCACTAGTTCCTGAGTTTTATGAAATGAAATGTCCAATATTGGGGAGGGCTAACAACACAAACTGTCCAATGAAACATGTGCTTTTCTCACTTATGAGGCAATGGCAACATGCGTGTCTTTACTCTGAACCCCACCTTAACTAACAGAATCATTCCCTGGCTGCATCCGACTCTTACTGCTCGCCAGGGCCAGCCCCCACTCCAGGCCTTGCACCACGAGGGGAGCCTGCTGGCTGTGGCTTTGCTGGGGCCACTGTCTGCCACCACACTCTCCAGTGCAGGTTCTCCTGATGCCTCTGTCCTTGGGTAGCCTGGGGCAGGTCTGCAGGAGGCATGTATCTTCAGATGGGACATCCTGGGCACTTGGCTCACCCTTAGCAAGTATCCTGCCTTCCCTGTGGTCTGGTTGCTACGCGAGCAGAGTCTGAACCACTGGGTCCTAGAAGAACTGTCCCTGGAGGGCCAGAGCCCCAAGGGTTAGAGCAAGGAGGGAAGGTAGAGCCAGAGTCTGAGTTGGTGTAAGGAACACATGCCCAAAGGGGAAATGCCCTGTAAGAATGTCCTGCAGGGGTGTTGCTGCACCCTGCAGGGGTGGGTCTCCCCAGACAGGCCCGTGCCCCGTGTGCCCAGCAAGGCCCTGCTGGCCCTGTACGCTGAGCATGGGTCTGCCCGGCCACCCTCTGTGTGGAACACACACAGTGGTTGCCCCTCCATGTCCACCTGCACATCTGCTGCACATCTCCTCTGTGGAGAGGTACGGGGTGAGCTCAGCTTTACGTGGAGGGAAGGAGGGGCCATCTCTGCAATGGAGGGCCAGTCCCTCCAAGGCAGATCTGGGTAGTCTGGGGGGCTCTGCTTTCCAGGCTTGTTCCTTGTCTGTAAAAGCGTCGTCTGGTTCACCCCACCCTTTCCAGAATGACCAGCTTTGTTGCTCCTTGGGCAGCTCTCAGTCTGCCATTTCTTCACTATGGGTGCCCCCCCACCCCCACCTACGGCCCTTAAGGCCCCCCTAGGATGGTCAGCTCTGAAAGTCCACGCCTGCTGACTTACTTTCCCCATCCTTGTCACTGCGGTGTTCAGGAAGCTGGAGGGCCAGGCTGACCTGCTCAGGCACCTGCTTCGGTTCCTCCTCCATGTTTTCAAGCTGCACCGGAGCCGTGGGTTCTAGGAGAAATCAGAATGTTCCAGTGTGCTGACCCCACAGCTTGCTGCCTCATGCCCAGGATTGTTCTTGGGCTGCCTTCTAGAGCTGCTTCTCTCCCTTGGGGTATAGAGATTGCTGTGGTAAGGGCTCGGTGTGGTGCATTCATCTGCTGAATGCCCACCATTGGGGCAGAGTCCCCTGGGCCCCAGAGCTGCCTTTAGCAGGATAACTTTTCTCCAGGTGGGGGCCAGCCCTAACCCTCCTGCTGAAACTCAGAGCTGCTTTGGTGAAGGTCACTAGTGGCCTGAGCCTGGGCGAAATGTCCTATCTGACCCAATGGCCCCATCCTTCCAGGTGGCTGATGCTGTGCTATCCTTCTTATGGTCAAATTCCACTCTCTGCTCCCTCCACCCCTGCTTCTTGGGGCTGTGGTGCCTGTTCCCTCTACATCTACCCTCAGACCTTGCACTTGGCCAACCCTAAATGCAAGTCAGCTTCTCTGTGGGGTCCCTGCCTGCACGCTTGGGCTTTTTATGATTGCTTCTGTGGCTTTAGGAGGGTGTCTGGGTCACAGCCCAGTCTGCCCAGCTTCCTAGACACCTCTTCCTGGTCATCATGTCTGGTGAGCCCTTCTGCTCCTTCTCTGCTGGTCACGGGGGCTGCGATGCCCACACCTGCTCATCACTGTCCCTTTTCTTCTCTGGCCTGGGAATGTTTGTGCTAGTTGAGAATTCTCACTAAACTGGTAATTAGGTTCTGTGCCAGGGAATTCCGTGAGAACAGGACCTGGTTTACAGGTGAGGATGAGGCCTGGGCTGCCCTGCCTAGGGTCCTAAGGGCCTTGAGGGCAGGGGCAGCCCCTGGGCATGCAGCTCTGGCCTGCTGTGCCACAGTCTTGGGGAACACCTTCTAGCCCAACCCCTCCTGCTAAACCATGTGGGAAGGGGCCAGGCCATCTCAACCCAGCGCTCATGCCCTGTGGTGCTAGGGCCAGGCAGAGTGGCCTGCTGGTCTGCCACAGGTGGTCCATTAGTTCAGGTAGAGCAGGATCTGAACCTGGGACACAGTCTCTTATGTGACAGAGAGGTGCAGTCTGTAGACTGTAACATGCGGGCCAATCACTTGGCTTCTTATTAAACACAGATTCCAACTGCACAGCTCTGGGTGGGATCCTGCCCATCTAGAAGCCCCCTGGGTGAGGCTGGTGCTGCTGGTCCGAGGACCTCGCTTGGAGTAGCAAGGAGTTAGATGGTACTTCGTTCTCTTGCTTCCCGCTCGCTAAGCTACACTGGGACTCCCGGCTTGGCAAGCCCAGCTTCTGCGCCTCAAACCTCCTCCTGACCCTGAGCCCTGCCAGCAGCCTGCACTTCAAACCATTCCGCCATATCGGGATGGCCCCTGTGAGCCTGTGCAGTTGCAAGGGCCTGCGTTTTGCTGCGTTCTTGTTGGAGGTGGTATCCGGTGCTTGGGGTAGTCTTTAAGCCCAAGTGTTAGGGCCCTCATCCCTCATCATGCTGGGGACATGGGCCTGAGGAGGTGGCAGTGAGGCCCCTGAGGCTGGCCGAGGCACTCACGCGATCTCACGGTGACCGATTTGCCAGGCGAGCCCCCAAACTTGGCACTCACTCGCCCTCTGCCGTCCACCAGCTCTGAGAACCTGCCAAGGGAGTCACCATGGGTCACCGCCACAGAGTGCGTGCCTGGGGCCACGCGCTCTGGGGGGATGGCCGAGGCTGCACCTGGGGGCCGGGGTCTGGGTTTCAGGCGCGTCGCGGTCACTGAGCAGGCGCAGCTCTGGCAGGCGTGCGGGCGGGGGTCTGTTTCTGAGCACTCGGGGATGCAGTCCCTCCCTGTGCCAGCGTCTGTCAGCGCCGTCCCTCGAGGCTGCAGGTGGGTGGGAGGAGTGGGTGGCTGCATGAGGCTGGTCCCGCCAGGCCTCTTAGAGGGGAGCACTGGAGACGGTGTGTGTGGCCCCGAGGCCTCTTGGTGGCTTTGTGGGACCTCACGGGTTTGTGGCTTTCTAGCAAGCCCAAGCCCTGCTCCCTGCCCACCCACTGCATCCCATCCCAGGAGTCAGAGGGCCAGTTCGTCCAGCCCACCCTAGGCCCAGGATCTCCACCTGCAGGGCATGGCCAGCCACTTGGACCTGACAGGACACCCCCACATGCAGAGAGTGAGGATTAGGCTTCTCTGTGGGTCCTTGTCTCCTAACTGTGCCCCTAGCCCTCCCTTGGGCAGGTATGGCTGCAGCTGCATAGGGTCTGACCCTCTTGCATGGTGCCCGTGTGTCTGCTCTTGGGAATTCTGTATTGCCCCAGCCACTATCTGCCTCCCTGCATACTCGTTTCACCCCATTGCCCTCTCCGCAGCGTCCGTCTAGATGCACCCTCTCCCTACAGCACCTTCTCCGGGCTCCAGCATGGCAACAGGGTCATGCAGGACCTGCTAGGACTCCACGGGCCTCCAGTGCGCTGGGGAGCGACCACATCCTTAGTGTGGCCTGAGGCTCTGTGCTCCTCAGCTGTTTCCTCCCTCTGTGTGTCCACGTGGGTCTCCCTTCCTACCTCTCCCAGGCCACCCCTCCCCATGCCCATTCTGACCCTCTCTCCAATCTTTCTGTCCAGAGGCTCCTTGTGGGTCAGGCCTGGCTGTGAGGCCACTCCCTGGGGACAAGGGATATGCTTATGTTTACAAATTCCTAGTGCATGGACCCTGCACTGACTGTCCGTGAATTCTTCCTTCCCCACTGATTTTCATACCCCCAAATTCTCCCGTGTGAACACAGTCCTGCTTTGTGGTTATCTGATGTTCCTGGGATGGTGTCGCCCGTGCAGGTCCTGGGGCTCTGCTATCTCCTGGGCAAGGATGCCACACCCCAAGGAGGGCAGCCCAACCTGCTGTTCTGGGGGCCCACAGTGAGCACGAGGGGCTGGGCCACCTTCATGGCCCTGTCAGTCCTAAAGAGACCGCAAGGCCTGGCCTGCGTGCCATCCCTGCCCCACCATTGCTGGCAGGGCCATACTTACAGGTGATGATGTAGAGGTGAGCAGGCTCACTGTGCAGTTGGTCACCCTCAGCGCTCTGCACGGCGGTCACTGATAGCTGGTAGCGCCGTCCTGGCAGCAGGTCCCGCACCGTGTAGGACGTCAGCCTCCCGTTGGGGACGTAGCGGCTCTTGGTGCTCTGGCTGGTGGTCACATTGATGACATACGCCTCCAGCAAGGTACTGGGAGTGGGGATGTCCCAGACCACATGGGCAGAGGTGGCTGTGACTCTGGTGGCTGTCAGGTTGGCTGGCGGCAGGGGCCCTGATAGGCACGGAGCAGGGAAGGGAGGTGAAAGGGGCCACCACCAAGTTTAAAGATCTGACACGACTGCTGAATTCTCCCGGAAGCCCTGTGTGGTCATGATGGACAACCTTACAGTCCTAAAGGGTAGTGTAGAGGGGTGTTTGCAGCAGCACTTCCTTCTGCCTGAGAGACTTCCCAGCATGCTGTGGGGAAGAAGCCACGGAGGTCCCAGGCCTGCGCAGCCTATCAGCGTCTTCTCCTTTTGATTGCCTAAGCCCGGCCATGTGCACCCTCCTCTGGGGTGTGGGAGGGGGCCAGGCAGGCAGGCAGTGGGCCAGGGTCCCAGCACTCAGGGTCAGTGCCAGGACTTGAGCTGGCCCTCACCACATTCCCCCACCCCGCCATGGGCTGTCCATGTGCCTACCCCAGCTGGGCTGTCCTGGAACCTGGAACCTAGACTCTGCCCAGATCTTTCCTCCTTACCACACACCCCCCTTGTTCACGGGTCCCTCTGGTGTGGACAACATGACACACTGGCCCCCCCTCCATGTTGGGGTGGGAGGGGTGGTGAGGGCCAGGCCTCCTCCCCACCAGATACCCTGAAGACCAGAGAGTGGACACTGTGAACATCATCTGCATGCCCTCTGGCCTTTCGCCCAGGAGCCTTTGGGTGTTGGGCTTCCTGGGACGCCTGCCCTTCCTGGCACCTGTGGAAGGGACCTATGGGGTGCCAGGGCCACTTTGGTAGGACTTGGCTGGAGGGAGGTGAGAGCTTGCAAAGGTCCCACAAGACCTGAGGTTGTGTACTCACGAGTCCACACGTGCAGTGGGGTCGAGGCCAGGCTCTCAGTGGGAGGCTCCTGTTCCCCAAGCCCGCTGAGGGCAGTTACCTGGATGGTGTATCTTCTTCCTGGCAGCAGGGACCTGTGGGCGGGAGGGCAGGGAGAGGCTCCGCTGCCAGACTGTAACTGCTTCCACACAGGCAGGCCTAGCTGTGGGTGATCCTGCAGGCGGCCTCCTGAATGACCAGATTTGTGGCCTGAGACCTGTGGGTTCCTCACATGGGAACTACTCCCTGATCTGTCTCTTGTCTAGTACAGGGCAAGGGTCAAGAGTGGCTCACACCTGCCTGGGATGGCTGTGGTGCAGAGGCCGGTGTTCAGGCAGGGGAGGCCAGAAAAGGGCACTTGGAGATCACTATGCAGAAGAGGGTCAAGGAGCAGGCCTCACTGCCCTCCTGCAGGGCCCTCGGCGGGAGTTCCCGGCAGAGTTCCCAGCATCCTCGTGCATGAGAGGACCTCGCTGCCCCCACAGCTCTGTGCAGTGTGGTTCATACTAAGCACCCATTTCCTCCTGGGTACCCCGAATTGACAACAGGTGGGGGTGCCCCATGCCCAGCCCCCGATAAAAACCCTGGGTGCTGCGTCTCTCACAGGCTCCCCTGAAAACAGCACCTCACACATCATCATGCCTGCTGGTGGCCTGTGGGACTCCATGGGGAAGGGCCCTGGAAGCTCACCCCGGCCCACCGACTTCTCCCTTCCTGTGTGTTGCACTATTTCTCTCTTGTGAATCCCAGCTGGTAGCACAGCCTCTGCTGAGTTTGGGGGGGGCCCTAGTGAGTCATGGGTGGTCCTAGGGACCCTGACTCAGTCACCAGGGCCTCATGTGCGTTTTTGTCACACCAGTCCTTGGAAGTGGGCAGTCCCCACAGAGCAGACCTGGGCGTCTGCGGTCAGAGGCACAGCTGACTAGGTGGGGGTTTCCTCAACTGGCAGGCACAGATTCCCCAGCCAGTCTCCCTCCCCCACTCTCCTGTCTTCCAGCACCACCCTCCAGCAGGTGTCAGAAGCCTCACTGGCTGGCGAACCCGAGTGGGCCGAGGCTGTGAAGTCTGAGCCTTCACTGTGGGGCCATTCCAGCATTTACTTCAATCCTCAGCCAGTCTCAGTGACTGATGTTCATGTGAGTTGTATTTACTTTGTAGTTTTGTTGTATTTGCAATAAGTAAACATAAGATGTTTACATGCTTACTTTAAGGTTCTAACATACAATTTGAACAATATAAAAATTTAAGACAAGTGTAGGGGTGCCCTATGTCTCCCTTTCAGAGGGGCCTGTGTGACTCCGGCTAGGATAGCCCTGTACCACTTTCTGGGTGACTTGGTCTCATTATCTGTGTGGGAGGCATGAACCCCAAGTTTTAGAGTGTCCCTGCTTTGTTGGGCACTTTCAAACACCTGTCTGGCAGCACCTGTGACGGGGAGAGGCAGGACTAAGGGCCAGAACAAAGGGGGGCTCTGCTTGTCAGGGCTGAACAGGTGCTTGTGAAACACAGGAGGCGCACACACACCCCTGCTTCTCAAGGTGGGCAGGGAAGGTGGGGAACGGCAGGGGAGGGGCACAGAGGGAGAAGGAAGGAAGTCCTAGAGCCCCGAGGGAAGGGAAGGCCGGCCCCCTGCTCTTACCCAAACGTGAACCTGTCCACACTCTTGTCCATATCAGTGGATTGGTCCTCCTGGGCCTCAGGATGCTGGATGGACACACGGACGCCACTGACAGTGGCATGACGGATCCTGTGCAGAGCCCACCGCACTGAGATGGTGCTGGCTGTCACATTGGTGACCTCGAGGCCCTCAACTGGGCGGGGTCCTGGGGGGCAACAGGCCCCTTAGCTGATGGTGGCACCTCCTCACTCTGGGGGAGGGCAGGTGCTTGAGACCGTGAGACAGGACTCAGGAAGTGTGATGGGTGGGGGGGTCACCGAGAGGGGTCCAAGCGAGGCGCTGACCCATCTGGGCTTGCTGGCTGCAGCCTTCAGCCACAGAGGGACTAGGGTCAACCGGATAGGCTCCAGCCTGGGGTAGGGGTGCAGGCAGCTTCACCAGAGGACTGCAGTCTTGAGGCCGTGGGGTGGGGCCCTTGGGACACATGGACCATGGGACCTCCTTTTTCTTTCCCCTGGCTGTTCTGGTTGCACTGACAGTGAATATTTGGGCGATGCTGCAGCCTACCGAGGATAGGAGCTGGGGAAATCTTGGGCTACTATGGGGAAGGGTCTGGGTAGACCACAGGAGCCAGGAGGGGAGCCCTTGTTTCCTGGCAGCGCAGTGCTCAGTCCAGTGGGCAGCATCCCTCCTGCCCACCCTGGTCTCCTGGCGAGACCCCACTCTCACTCTGATGGTGGAGGGATAGGGATGCCATTTCTTCCTAAAGCCAAGCTCAGGCTGAGCCCACTCTGCCCCACAGGCTCACTCTGGTCCTCCTGCTGGCCTAGGTGCATTCTCAGTGCCTCTTAGCTGGCCTTCCCATCACACACCTCTCCTGAGTCTCTCATCTCATCCCTTGCTTGGCCCTCAATGTCCTCAGGGTCAGTGTCTGGCTCGGGCTGGCAGGTGATACCCGGGCACCTTCCTCCTTCCATGAGGTTTCTGTCCATGCCTCTGAGCAACCTGGCCTCCCTCCTTTCCTGGCATGAGTCCCCATTGGTGGGTCCTGGCTATCTGCCTTCACAGTGCTCTTGGGGATGGCCCTGCCTGCCTGCTGTGACCTGTGCTAGTACCTGGTGTGGTGGGAGCAGAGCCGCTGTGTGTTGGCTATGCTCTGAACCCCTACCAACTCCCCTCATGGACCCTCCATGCTGCCCAGGGGACCACTGCCCCATCCATGGTCCTTCCTCCAGCCTCCAGCACCCCCTTCCACAGTCTCCCATGCCTACCTGGCCTCCACCTAGCATAGGTTGCTCCCTGTGGAGGACCAGGCCCTCCCCGTAGATCCCAGAAGCAGATGAGCCAGGTAAGGCCCCCAAGGCCTCCCTAGACTATGCTTCCCCCTCCTGTGCAGCTGTACCCCCAGAGGCATCTGCCCTGGCAGCCCCCTTCTCTAGAACTGCCACCAATATGCTCTGTCCCCACCCCCTCAGAGTTGCTATCTCTCCCCTCAGCATGTTGGGGTGACCTCCTGGGCTCCTTGCTTGTCCCTTTGGCACCCCCCCAGCATGGGCTGGACCCTGGCAGGTGCCTTCTTGGGGAGCCCCCCAACTTCTCCCATGGCCTCACTCCTAAGCCACGGTGCTCTGGGGCCCTGGCCAGTGTGCCTCTCCTGGTGGCCCCAGGCACATCCATGTGGGCACTCACGTGTGCGGGTCAGCAGCAGCACTGGCCTGCTGATGTCATTCTTGTTGTTGGCATTGCGCTTGACCGAGAACACAGAGATGTTGTAGGCTCTGCCGGCTGCAAGGGCGCGCAGCTGGTGCGAGGAGCGGCTCCGGTCCACAAAGTCTGTGCGGCGGTAGGCACCGTCTGAGGATGTGTAGGTAACTGCGTAGCCATCGAGCATCTGCCTGGCGGCCTGACCTTCAGGGGGACGCCAGGAGATGGAGACCCCGCTCTCTTCCACTTGCTCCACCTTGAGGGCCGTTGGTGGGAAGAGCTCTTCAGGGTTTCCGTCAAGAACAAGGGAGGGGTGGTCAGCTGTCAGCCACAGAAACCCCGGCCCCCAGCCAGGCGTCTCACCTGGTGGCTCTCGGGCCTGTCCCCCCGGGGTGGAGGTGGGCAACTGCTGGTGGGGAGCCCGCTCCTGTTGCTACAATGGGCCGTTTCACCTGGTCTCTGGCCAGTGCCTCCTGGAGGGCCTCATGAATGTGTGCGCAGGTGACTGCCTTTGCCCTCCATGGCAGGGGGTGTGTGTGTGTGTGTCTCAGATGTGTGTGTACCTGTGACTGTATTTATGGCTCCTGGGCAGTTCTATACCCCTTCTTGCTGCTTGGGCAGAGCCCACTAAGCGACTGCCTAGACACTTTGCCCTGGGGGTGCTCAGAACTTTGACCTGTCCCCTGAGGGGTCTGTGCCCTCTGAGGGAGGAGGGAGGTCCACCCACTGCGCTGGCACACTTGCCACCTCACCTTTGGCACAATCCTTGCCCGTGTAGCCCACTTTGCAGGTGCAGCTGTGGGACCCATTGCTGGCCAAGCAGTAGCCGCGGCCCCCACAAGGGCTGGAGAAGCAGGGGTCACTCACTGGGGAAGAGGAAAGGAGCAGTGAACACTGGGGCCTTACCTGCTCCCCCAGCGGGACCCTTGCTGTTAGGGGCAACAGGTCCTTCCTGTGTGGGTGTGTTTGTGGGGTAGATGTGGCTGGAACCATCATAGGAAGCAATCTGAAGAGGTGAGGGAGGGGCTGCTCTCTGAGGGGAAATGCAGGGCTTGCCAGAGGTCTCACCGGGAGGCTGGGCACGTCATCCCACCATTACTCCCAAGCCAAGGTAGCCTGGTAGGTGGTGACTCAGGGTGGGATGAGCACAGGGCTGGCCTCTTCTGGGGAGCAACTGGCAGCCAGGGCAGTCTCCCTCTGCACTGGGGCTGTGGGCATCGAGGGGACCTGAGCTCCCCAGGCCAGGGCCAGGACCCGCAGGTTCCCAGTGAAGCCGTGGGAGCCCCCTTATCACTGTCATGGCCACTAACCGTGTTCCAGGTGAGCATTTACCCACCCCAAGCTTGTACAGTGAGACTCCTTGGCCACAAATGGCCCCCATGGTGCTTATGCTGGGGCTACCAGCACCACAGTCCCTGGGCCTAAGACCTGACCCCCAGCAGAAACTTCACCAGCCCAGCAGCCTCGCACAGCCCACACAGCCACACAGCGCAGTGCTGCCAGCCCAGCCCAGCGTCAGGGCTAGAACAGGACCTGCCCCTGGGACACTACACACCCATCCTAGGAGGAGAGCTGAGACCAGCAAGTTGAAGAGACAGTTGCAGAGAGGTGCAAGTCCTATAAAGAAGGAAAATGGGCAGAGAATTCCCAGGTGTAAGGAGAGGTGGGCACTGGGATGCTGGGGCTGCAGCGAGCTCCGCCCACCCAGGCTGGCCATGGAGTCAGCCTTGTCTCTTGGGGTGAAGTGGAGCCATTGGAGGGGCAGGTGCAAGAGGTGGGTAGCTAGCATCAGGGGACCCAGCAGAGGCCTGAGTAAGGGGCCTCTGGAGGAGCTGGGGCTTGGCCTCTGCCTCCCTACCTGTCTCACAGTGGTAGCCGAAGAAGCCCTCTGGGCAGACGCACAGGTAGGCCCCGCCACCGTTCTCACACCGGCCTCCATGCTGGCAGGGGCTGGAGTGGCAGCCATTCACCTCTGGAGAACACCCAGAGAGTTGGCCAGAGCTGCCAGGGGGTGTCTGGGGGAGGGAGGAGAGGATAGCGGGAAGAAGGGAAGGGGGATCGAGGAGAGGTGCCAAGGAGAGATGCCGGGTGTGGGGGGGTGGTTTGCTGGGGAAATCCCCCTTAGCCTTGGAGGTCCCTTCCCGGGGTCCCTCCCCCTGGGGGGCCTGTCCAGCTGGGCCAGGGGCCCAGCCATTTCCCTCTGCTCGCTGAGCGGCCCAGGGTCTACGCTTATTGAAAACAGGTTTGTCCAGGGCGTCCAGGGCATCACGAATGTGGGTGAGGGCCCAGCCACTCAGGGGACCCACCCAAGCACAGCGCCTACCTGTCTCGCAGTGGACTCCAGTGAAGCCTGCAGGGCACTGGCAGACAAAGGCCCCTGGGAGGTCCCTGCAGGAGCCTCCATTTCTGCAGGGCTCTGCTTGGCACTCATCTGTCTCTGCAGAGACAGGGGCACTTGTTTGTCTCTGCAGAGACAGGATAGGAGGCTGCAAAGCCCTACACAGACTCCAGAGAGGTGGGACACAGGCCCCACATGGCCGTACACAGGCTGCATGGCCCTGTGTGGGCTCTATGTGGACCTCCAGGGGCCTCCACACCAGGATTTCATGTGTGCTCTGAGGCTTTAGCCTGATGCCCACCCTCTCCACTGTCCACCTGACAAAGGCCCTACCCCCAGGTCACTCCCGCATTTCACTGTCCAGGCTTCTCAGGGGCCTGGGCACATTCTAGGCCTGGCTCTCCCTGGAGCAGGGTCTCTGTCTCAGGGCTTAGAGCCCTACACAGGTGTGCAGGGTACAGGGCTCATCCACCAGTGTACCCCACAGGCCTCCTCTCCCTCTGCTACATTGGAGCACAGGGCCAGGAGTCAGGGTGTGACTCTCTCCACCCCACCTCCTCTAGCCCTGGGGCAGAGGCTGCAGAAGGCAAGAGGAGGTCAAGGTCAGCTTCCTCAGCTGGGCTGTCAGTCTCCCCGGGGAGGTGGAGGCTGAGATGTTTGTAAAGAGAGGTAGGAGTCAGAGAGCAGGCTATGCTGGGCCAGGCAGTCCGGGGGAGGGCGGGTGGAGTAGCGCCCTGCCGTCTTACCGGAGCACAAAGGGCCTCCTTCCTGTCCTGTGAAGCAGGAGCCCCTACACAGGCATGGGATCCACACTCATCAGCTTCTGACAGGGGAGCCCCAGTGTATAGGCACCAAGAGAGACACCAAGAATAAAGTGGTGTTGTGACTGGAGGCAGTGGTTTGAAGCCAAATATGATGGATGTAAGTTAGCTTTGTTCTGAGGAGCCAGACAGAATTGTCCAGCACCCCTCAGCGCCTTGAGAGGCCCGAAAGACCCTGGAGAGGAAGGGTTGGGCAGTGGGCCCCCAGGGGGACGCTCATCATGACCTCGAGGGTTCTCATAGAGCGTGCAGGACTTTACTCTGTGGCTGGCAGGTGGCCAGGCCCCATCTTGCCAGTTCACATGCAGCTACCACATATGAGCCCAGTACCTCTGGGGACAAGGCCTTCACTTTAGGATATTTGCCACAGGCTTGTTTTGCATTTTAAACTGGGAATTAGGCTCTGGAATTCCAAGTGTTCAATTTAGAAAAGTTGAATTTTAATGCTTAAAATGAAACGAAATAAATGGTCTAAGTAAAACACCCAGGAGCTAGAGTGCTTACTATCTTGTCAGGTCACATGCACTTCCACGTCCTTGTGATGCGGATTTTGGGGCTTATGATGTCTTTGCCTCTTTAGTATTTTAAACTTCATGAATTACCTAAACAATGTATGTTTTGTTTTTGCTATTTATGAATTTTATTAAAAGGATATAGTGATAAATGTATTCTCCTCTCACTGAAAATGGTATTAATGAGCTATCTCCATGCTGCCGGGGGTTGGGGGTTCTCTGTGTGAACACAACAATAATAGTCAGCATCCACAGTGGGAGTCTCTTGTACTCTGTCCATTCTCGATTGCTGGCATTTGGGTTTGTTTTAGACTTGTTATTATTTAAAAAAAATGCTTTTATTTCCTTTCATAGCTCCTGGTATAAATGTGCCCATTTTTTTAGATTTAAACCTAGAAGTGGAATCTCTGGGACACAGTTTCTATGCATGGTCAAATTGATAGGCAGATTACCAAGCCCTTTTCAAAGTGTTTCTGACAATTTACGCTTCCTCCAGCAATTTATAAGCAATCCTGTTGATCCACATTACCACCAGTAGATGGCTTTCTAGACTTCTGCAGTTTTGTCAACTGAATGCACCTCCCTGTGCTTTTGATTTGCATTTCACTGATTACTAATACTTCTCTTGGCTATTTTTTGTTGGCTTTATTATCTCCTCTTCCATGAAAGGCCTCCTCAGTGTTTTGCTGATTTTCCTACTGGGTTTTCTTTTCTTATTGATTCATAGAGTTCTTTATATATTTTTGAAACCAGTCTCATATGTATGTGTGTGTATGTGTGTGTGTGTGTGTGTGTACATATATATGTATATATATATAACTTCTTATATTGTCAAGTTTGTGCATTTTTTTCTTTTATAGTTAGTGCATTTTTTGTGGCTTAAGAAATCTTTCCTTATCCCAAGGCCAAAAAGATACCACGTAAAATTTTGTAGTTTTAGAAAAATATTTAAGTCCTTAATTAATCTGGAATGAATTCTTGTGTGTGGTGAAGAGTAGGGAACAATGTGATATTTTTCTAAATGCATAACCATTTTATTCCAGCTGTTGTGAAGATTTTCTCATATGCTTTTATAGAAGTTTATAGTTTTAGCTTTTATACTATGTCTGTAATTCATGTCACATTATAAACATCATATTTGGTGCTATTATATATAACATTGTTCATTTTATCTTATTTTTCAAGTGTTCACTGCTAGAAAATATTAAGGTTTTGTATATTGCCCCTCTCCTGTGACTCACTTGAATTTGCTTATTTATTCCATAGTTTTTTGGTAGAATTTCTTTGGGTTTCCCATGTGCACGACCATGTCATCTTTCTTCCAGTAGATGTGACTTTTATTTCCTTTTCTTGTCTGTGGCCCTGTCGGGGACCTCCAGGACAATGCTGGAAGGAATCAGTGAAATTGACACACTGCCTTGTTATTTATCACAGCAGTATGCCTCTCACAGTGAAGTACTTTGTTACCTACTACTGTTTCGTTTATACCCTTCATCAGGTTACAGACAGTCCCTTCTATCTACTCTTAGTTTATTAATAGTTTTAAGAAGTAGTTGAATATTTTCAAATGATTTTTCTGCATCTATTGAAACGATTATATGGTTTTCTCCTTCATATCCTAATATAGTGAATTACACTTACTGATTTTCAAGTGTTAAACCAACCTGTACTCTTAAGATAAACCCCACTGGGTCATGATATATTATCCTTTTTATGTAACAATGTGTTTGATTTAGTAATATTTTGTTAGGATTTTTATGTCCATGTTCATGAGGAATATTAGTTTGTAATTTCATTTCTTTTTCTTTCTTTTTGTGGAGTGCAGTGCAGAGCTTGAACTCACGACCCTGAGATCAAGACCTGAGCTGACATCAGGAGTTGGATGCTTAACACACTGAGCCACCCAGGCACTCCTAATTTTATTTTATTTTATAACATCTCTGTCTTGTTTTAGTATCAAGACAATACTGATCTCACACAATGAATCAAGAGCTCTTCTTCCTTTATTCTCTGAAGAAGCTTGTGTGGGGTTAGTATTCTTTTCTTCAGTGTTTGATAGAATTCATCAGTGAGGCAATCCAGTCCTGCCATTTTCTTTGCAGAAAGGTTTTTTAATTACATATTAAAATTCTTTAATGATATAGGGCTATTCATATTTTCTATTTATTGTTCTGTCATTTCTGGTACTTTGTGTCTTTTAAGGTATTTATTCCTTTTCTTTAAGTTGTCAGATATATTGGCCTCAACTTGTTCACAGTATCTCTTCCTTGTCCTTTAAATGATTGCAGGATCCTTAGTGACATCTTCTCTTTCATTCTGATATTGCTAATTTTTCTTTTTTATTTCTTGATCAGTATAACTGGAGGTTTATCAATTTTATTGAACTTTTCAAGGAACCAGCTTTTGGTTTCATTGATTTTCTCTGAATATGTCTTTTATAATTACATTTTCTAATTGTTGTTGATATATTAAAATGCAATTTTATTATAATAACCTATATCCACTAAACATACTACATTTTCTATCATTTTCAGTAAGTTGCTTATAGATTAAGACAACCATACTGCTTATAGATTAAGGCTTGGTTATAGATTAAAGACAACAGATACTGACATTCTTACTCCCTACCTTCATATTTTCATGATTTTAATATCTTTTTCTTACTTTATTGCATTGGCTACATTTCCAATATAATATTGATGAGGCTTAGTGACAGTAGGCATCCTTGTCTCCATTTTTTTTTTTTTTAAGAGATGGAGAGAGAGAGGTGGGGGTGTAGGGGGAGAGTGAGAGAGAGAGAATCTTGAGCAAGCTCCATGCTCCAGTATGGAGCCTGACACACGGCTTCATCTCACAACCCTGAAATCATGACCTGATCTGAAATCAAGAGCCGGACACTTACCTGACTGAGCCACCCAGGTTCCTCTCGTTGTCCTCAGTATTAAGAGGAATGTGCTTCTATTTAGGATAATGTTCATTTAAGGTTTGAGTAGAGGCACAGTAAAAGTACCTCAGAAGCTAATTTCCATTTTCCTGTTGGTAGCTCAGCATGACTGAGTCAGATCAACAGAAGCACAGGTTTTGAATTCCAGATCCTACCTCTATCAAGGATCAGGAGACTCATTGTTCCACAGCTCTCTTGATGTAACCTGTATTCTGTCTCTATACATGTGTAAAGTTAGTGCTTGGCCACACATAGTGTGACGAGTCTGGTTATGCCCAGCCTAAGCACACCGCTCTGTGGGATGATACACACTTCGGGGGTTATGCAGGCTCTGCTACATCTCTCTTTTAAGTTTTTCCTCCAATAAGTCCTATATATTTTATACGACATGTTATTAGAGGTGTGTATGTGCATATGTGTGTATGTGTGATGTGATTTTTATCTGGTAAGGAAGTACTTTTTTATTCCTTATTTGGTAAGAGTTTATTTCATGAATGGGTATAAATTTTGTCAAATGCTTGTTATGCATATATTGAGATACTTATATGCTTTTTCTCCTCCAGTTGGTTAATATAGCAGGTTTTCCTGATATCAAACTAATCTTGCAACAATCCAGCTTGATAATGGAATATATAGTCTTTATAGACTGTTGAATTTCTGCATCAATGTTCATATGTTTAACAGATCCATCATTTTACTTTCTCCAGCTATCCATATCTGGTGTTGGTATCAAGTTTATACTGGCCTCGCAGAATAGATTGGCACATATTCTTTATTTTATACTCTCTGGAAGGTCCTGCATAATGCTGCAATGATCTGTTTCTCTGTAATTTGGTAGAAGTTACCTATAACATTGGTCTTGTAATTTCTTTGTGGGAAAATGCTTCTGCTTCAATTCCTTTAGACATTTATAGGATTATGTAGGCTTTCTAAATATCCTTGAGTCATTTTTGGTAAGTTATATTTTTCTGTGAATATTATGTCCATTTCTCCTAAGGTTTCAAATCTACTTGTATAGACTAGTTGATAGTATTCTCATCTTCTTAATCTCTGCTATATCTGTGGCTATGTCATCTTTTTCATTTATAAGGATTTTTATTTGTGCTCTCTGTTTTTGCTGATCAGTTGATATAAGTTTGTCCATTTTCACAAGCTTTTCAAAGAACTAATTTTGGTGATCTCTTCTTTATACTTTGGATTTAACATTTCATTAATTACGCCTCTTACTTGTATTGCCTTTTTCTTTCTACTTTTTTGGTATCATTTGTTGTTCTTTTCTTAACTTCTAAACCCCAACATTTAGCTCACTAATTTCTGAACTTTTCTAACTATGTACTTAAAGTTCCCACAAAGCACAGGTTTTGCTGCATCAGACAAGTTTTTACAAGAAAATGGTCATTAATACTCATTTTAAATTTTCTTACTGTCCATATTTCTTCTTTGATCTATAAGCCGTTTCAAAGTATCTTTAAAAATATCTAAACATGGAGATTTAAAATTTATCTTCTTGTCCTTAGTAACTCAATTTTTTCTGTGTGTTCAGAGAATGAATTAGTTCAAATTGTTAGTTGTATTATTTGAATCTTCTTTTTGCTGATTTTTTTGGGGGAGGGGGCTTCTTAACCTGAATTGAGAGAGGTGGTTCAAAATCTCATAGTATTATGGTAAATTGTCAGTTTCTTCCTGCAGTCTATTAATTTTTGTTTTATATATATTGACACTATTGTATGAGATGCTTGAATGTTTGCAATGATCTTCTTGGTGATTTGGAACCAATTATCATTGAAAGAGACCTTCTCATCCTTAATGATGCTTTACATTTTAAGAGAGTATATTTTGGCTGATATTAGTGTAACTAAACCTGCTTTATTTTGATCTGTATTCACCTGATATTTTTTTTCCCATATTTTACTTTGTCTTTTTAAGTTTTTAAGTTTATGATTTAAGAGTATGATTTATGATCTAAGAGTGTATAGCTTTTTTTTTCTTTTAGACTTATTTATTTATTTTAGAGAGAGAGGAGAGGGGGCAGAGGAAGAGGTAAAGAGAAAATCTTATGCAGACTCTATGCTGAACACTGAGCCTGATGTGGGGCTCAGTCTTACGACCCTGAGATCACAAACTGAGCCAAAACCAAGAGTCAGATGCTTAACCAACTGAGCCACCCAGGTGTCCCTAGCTTGTTTTGTTTTGTAATAAATCTGGCAATCTGTCTTTTACCTGGAGAATTTAGCTCATTCATGTTTGTCTACATTTTTTTCTATCATAATCTTAATTCTGCCCTTTTTCTGCTTTTTTCCTCTCTCCTGTTAGAGAGTGAAAAACTTTCCTATAATATTTGATAATCTTCCCTTCTCTTACTCCTTACAGAATGTTCTAGGTTTATCTTAGTATTTGAATACTATCTCAAAAAAATACATTTTTTGGGTAAGTCTTGAAGCTGTGTTTGCAAGAGGGTATTATTTTTGAATAATAGTTTGAATAAAAGTTTTTAGGTCTTAAGTTTATTTACTTCCATATTTATCTTGCTTGGTATTTGCTGAGCTTCTTGAATTTGTGGGTTGATGTATTTCCTCATGTTTAGAAAATACTCAGTCATTATCTCTTCAAATATTTCTTTTGCCTATTCTGCCCTCTCTCTGGAACTCCAGTTATGTGCTTGTTTGATATTTACCACAGATTTTGTGTGTTCCCTTTTAAAAAAAAATCACTTATAAGTAATTCCTAATTCATTTCTTCTTTCCAATCTTTGGTTTGAATAATTTGTTGACCTGCCCTTGAGTTCTGTGACTTTTTCTTCTGTAGTATCCATTCTATTAGTAAGCCTATCCAATTTACTCTTCATTTTAGATGTATTTTTTTATTGTGTTTTTGAAAGTTTTCTTTCCTCTGCTCAAATTTTCTATTCTTTCATTCATTTTGCTTCTCTTTAACATATTGATAATGGTTATTTTAAAGTCCTTGTCTGCTAATTCAAACATGTGGTTCATCTGCAGGTCTGTTTCTATTGACTGTTTCTTCTTGAGGTTATACGTCATAATTTCTTGCTTCTTAGACATACTATACACAAGAACAGAGAGACCAAAGTAGAAAATACCTATCCCTAGGATCTCCATGTTCTGCTCTGAGTTGGAAAATTAGCCTGAGCAGCTGATCTCTGATATTATCCCAGAGGTGAGCTGGCCTGGACCTGGTGCACAGGGCTCGTTAATGCCAATTCATGATTGATTTTAGATGCCTGAAGGTTGGAACAGACCTCTCCCTCCGGGGTGGACCTGGGAATCTCAGCTTTATGAGGATATGAAATTTCTCTGCTTTCCAGACCAGCCACTGTCTTCCCATGCACTTAATAAAAATCCTGTGGAGGAGAATTGGTGGGTGCTGAGCACTTGCTCTGTATCTATGTGACTCCTGATTCCAACCCATCATGCTTGCTCACATAATCATTGAAAGATTAGTTGGATTTCCCCAGCTCCTCAAAGTGCTCTGTCCACACTGGATTTACTCCTGGGCTGATAGCAGTCCCCAGTCTTTCTCACCCAGGAAGGGCTCATCTGTACTTCTTTGCATACTGATATGCATATCTGATAGGTTAAATGATATCATTTTACAGGTTCTCTGGTTCCTTGAAATTACAGTGAGAGTGATGGTGTTTTGTGACTGTCTCTATGCTCACTGAATGGATCTCCTCAGTATTTAAAGTCTACCATTTAATTATCTTATATCTGATGGCACTGTTGAGAAGTCTGGTGCCAATTGGATTATTGTTCTTTTGAAGACACTTGTTCTTTTTTTCTCTAGATAGTTTAAGAATTTTTTTCTGATTGTCTCTGATATTCTTAAATTTTGCTATAATGTGCTAATGTTCCTCTTTTCTCCTGTTTGATGTTCTGGGGCCCTTTCAGCCTGTGGTGGTTCATTTGTTATTCTGGGAACTGAGCTCCATAGTGGCTCCAACATTTCATTGTGTTTTTATTTTTCTTTTTCTTGGACTCCTATTATCTCAGTGTTGACACTTCTGTCCTCCACAGTGCCTACATCTCATTCTCACAGACCTCCCTGCTTCTCTGTGGGAAGAGTCCTCAAACTGGTCTTTTAGCTCATTAACTTAGCCTTCATCTGTATCCATTTATAAATTGTGTCTGTTATTTCAACTATTATAGTTTCTTGTCCTCTTTTCCTCTCTTTTGTTAAAAATGATTTATCGACCCTGCTTCTTACGACCAGTGCCATGTTTCCTTCCGTGTATCTATCATGCTTATATATATGCTTGTCCACCTTCTAAACTTCCACTCCCAGTAGTATATGTTGTTTGGATTTTATTGTTACTGTCTTTGGAGAGGGCTGGGCTTGGATAGATAGGAGGACAGGAAAGACCCTCGGGACTAGGCAGCCCCATCTGTCTTCCAGAATTCCTCACCTGTGTAGGGCTGCACAGCTTGGGCTCTGCAGGGCATTGGGACAGAGCAGACTTAGGTGGTCCCTGAGCTACTTTGTTTAAAAATCCTTGTTTGGTGAAAGATGTGTTAACATCACACAGGTTTTCTGATGAACAGAGTTAGGGATGCTTAGGCTTAATGCAGCACACCTGCAGTTGTGTTAGTGACCCTGTGTTTGCAGGGGCATGGGGGGCCCTGCCTCCAGGCCATGTACCCCGGCACACTGTGGGAGCCCGAGGTGAAGCTCTCTAATGCAGCACTCCTCAAATAGCTCTGGGAGTCCTGGGGTTCTTTGTTCAAATGCAACATTTGCTTCCATGGGTCTAGGTGGTGCCAGGGTAAGAGGCCCTGAATCCTAATCTGCCTCTTGAGGACTCTGCCTTTGGGCTACCTCAGCCTCAGCTGCTTCATCTGCAGGGTGGGCATATGGGTTGGATGCCCTGCTCTAAGAACAGGGAAGACCTAAGTGAACAGTCCAGAGTGGAGCTGGCACTAGTCCTCACCACCCTCCCCATAGGGTCATGGCCTCACTTTGCAGGAAGGTGGGGGAAGTCCAGGGTCAGAACTGTGGTTCCTGTGCTCCTGAGTGGCCCCATTAGGAGGCTATGGACCCCACTGGCTCTGCCCTCATGCCCGCCCACCCTGCCCCAGAAGGCCTGCAGATCACCGTGGCACTGTGGAGGTTCGCTCCAGACTCCCTGTGGCTGGCAGACTCGGACGTAGTTGGGGGAGCTCAGGCTGTAGCCTTGGTCACACTTGTACAGGGCCACGGATCCCAGCCGAGTGCCATTGAAGCGCAGCGTGGCATGTTTCACCTCTGCTGGGGTGCCGCAGTCCACCTCTGCAGGGACACAGAAGCCTTGTCCTGCACTGTGGGGCACCTGCCTGAGGCCCCTCCCTTTGCTTTGCCCTCTGCTCTACCAGGCCACTGGGCCTAGAACCCCTGTTCCCTGCACAGCCCTCCCAGGTGAAAGTGCCTTGACTTCCAGGAATGGCTGCCCATGGTTTTCTCCTTTCCCCTCCCTCCTCTCAGCTCTGTCTGGCCCTGCTCTGCTTTTCTGGGATTAGGAAGAAATCCCATGCCTTCCACCCCAACCCCCAGCCCTCTCACCCGCCTGGCATCGGCGTCCCATGTACCCTGCTCGACAGCGGCAGGAGAAATCTGTGCCCAGGTCCTCACAGGTACCCCCATTCATGCAGGGGCTCCGGAAGCAGGGGGAGGGGGCTGCAAGGACAGAGGGGGTCATCATTGCTGTGTCCTCCCCAAAGACCTCTAGGCTTCACGGGAGCTCTGCCTCCTACTCCTCCAAAGCAGGGCCAACCCTGCCCACTGGGAGCAGCTGCAGCCCCCAGGTGCCCTGGCTGTGCTGCCCCCATCTGGTCTAGCCTGCTGGCTTCTGCCCACCTTACCTATCTCACAGTGCCGCCCAGAGAAGCCTGGGGGACAGTCGCACTTGTATTTGCCAATGTAGTGGAAGCAGGTGCCGCCATTGTGACAGGGGCCTGAGGCACAGGAGTCCGGCTTCCCTGGAAAAAAAAAAGGCCCCCATGGGAGTCAGGTGTCATGCATCCATACCCAGAGCCCCTCCCCCAATCTCCAACATTCCAGGGGGGTGCTCCTGACAAGCAGACGCATGGTGGCTGGGGCAGGACTTGGCTTCCCCCATCCAGGCTGACTCCAGCTGGCATGGAGCCGCACCGATCTCACAGTGCCTCCCGGTGAAGCGGTAGGGGCAGCTGCAGTGGTACTCGCTGCCTGCCTCCCTGCACGTGCCCCCGTTCCGGCAGGGCCCCGAGCTGCACAGGCGTGGTCGGGCTGTGTGGACAAGGATGGGGAGAGACAGAAGAGGGTGAAGAGGGCCAGCTCCCGGCCATGCAGCACCCATGACACCCTACTCATGTTTTCTCAACCTATAGGCCCCATGCGCCCACCCATCTTCTCTTCTCTGTCCCAGGCCCTGGTGACCCGTGGCCCCTTCCTGGTGGAGAACTGGCCTGCATGGCAGGGAACGCAGCTGCAGCTCATAGGACTAGAATCCACTGCAGTCTAATTTTTGTTTTTGGCACCAGTGTATTTTCTCTGGGTCCTAACACCCTCCCATGGCCCTGAGGGGCTCACATGTAGTGCCTGTGCTGCAGACATCTGCGTATTTAAAGGTCTGCCCTCCACCCTGAGGAATGGTGCCTTCAGAGGCTCACAGAGGAATTTAGCCCCTCAGCTTCCTCGACATTCTTGGGAGCGACTTGCAGCAGGAAGGGGGCCTGCCTGCCGTCCTCAGCCCTTCTCTCCCCACCATCCCACATCCTGCAGGGCCTCACAGGCTGCATGCCCAAGTTCCAGCCACCCCCCCAAAAGCTGCCACCACCCCATGTCCCACTTTGGATGCCTTTGTTGAAGATGAAGGTCCTCGGCCACATGTGCAGAGAACCAAGACAAGGAAGGCTTCTCTTTGGAAACACCCTCCTGCAGGTGTGGCTGAAGCTGAGGGGTGACAGGGACCTGCCCTCAGGGCCACCATGAGAGCAGAAGATACTTCCAGGTAAAGCCACTGAGGACTCTGTTCTTGGGACAAGCGAGGGCAGCAAGAGGCCCAGAGAGGTGTGTGTGGTCCAGGTGCTGAGCTCCATGAGGCAGGCATGAGCCTGGGCTCTGAGGAAAACCAAGTAGTGACCAGGGGGCCACAGAGCAGAACCACTAACTGAACAAGCAGCACCTGGGGCAGGGGCGGCTGTGCAGGACCAACACACAGAAGCTGGGTAACACACGACCCACTAGAACAGCAATTGAGAATGGGTGGGGCCCTCTCTTCCTAACCCTGCCATCCCAGCCCCGCCCTGCCCTCCCTTGCCCTCCCCCACCGCCCACCTTTCTCACAGTGCCTGCCGTGGAACCCTCGGGGGCACTCGCAAGTGTAGGAGTCCTCGTGGGCATCACAGGAACCTCCGTTGAAACAGGGGTCTGAGTCGCAGGGTGATGGCAGTGCTGCAGGGGCAGAGGGTGGTCACCCTGCCATCCCCGCTGGAACCAAGGGCACTTAAAATATACTCTTTTCAGGGAAGGGTCTTAATTCTTTACACCAGACTCTAAGGCCCTTCCCTGGAAATTCTTTTATTCTCGATTTTTCCAGAATTCACCCTACCTCTCCTATGAGCTAGGATTGAGCTATGGCACACTGATGTTTTCGTGCCAGCACCTCCATTGTCTTCATTATCCAGTATGCAAACCATTAGTTATTTGTACACTCACAAACACAGTGGTATTTAGTTACATACTGAATCAGATAGGTGTGAAGTAGTTTAATAGCTAAGCTAGGGACTTAGGGAGAGCTTGTAGGCGTCCAGAGGTGCTTTTCCAGCTGTGAGCTTCCCGCAGCTGAGGGGGTAGACAGCCAGGCCCCTATTAGAGAAGGCGACACCAGGAAAGGCGCACCCACCCACGGGGCTACTTGTGGGCCAGTAGAGAAGCCCTGGCCTCTGCCGGCTCTGCCCCCACTTTTTCCTTCTACCACCCCCTCCCTGGTTTCTAGGCAGGCCTGTGCCTGTACCTCCCACTCACAGTGGCTGACGTTGTGGTCCGTGTGGCAGACACAGAGGTAGCTCCCACCATACTCCATGCAGTAGCCCCCGTCGGGACACTGCGTGTTCATGTTGCAGGGAGTGGCTGTGACTTCTGCAGGGAAAGAAGAGGCCCATTCGTTTTCCCAGGGACTTCTCTTTGAGAAGGATCAGGCGGCCCCACCAGGATGGCCCAGTTCAGGCACTGGTGGGTGGGCCCCCTCCTGGGTTGGGAGTGGGGGATCATGGGACCACTAGCTAAGGGTCTGGATCGATAGTTTGGGCCCAGACCCAAGATACCAGCTATTCTCTGGTTTGTGGGATTTTCAGGGGCAGGGCAGGAAGTGTGCCCTGCTGCAGCCCTGGGCACTTACCAAATTCACAGAGGAGCCCAAAGAAGCCTGGGGGGCACTGGCAGAGGGTGGTGTTGGCCCCTAGGCATCTGCCACCATTACGGCACTCACAGTGGTCAGGGGTTCCTGTTGTAGACCGAGGGGGAGCCTCCAATGTGGGGGTGTTGGAGGCCTGGGGCCCTCTCTTGCTCCTGACCCTGCCCGGCTCCTGTAGCTACTTTCCCATGAACACTGCTGTGCAGACATACATGCACACACACTCTTTCTTTCCCCCCACCCACTTGTGGGTGTTTGAACACACCCCTGTCTGCCTTCCTGTGTGTACTACCCACAGGAGGACCCTGTCCTGGACCGTAGCCCTGGCAGCCCCAGCCCACTCACTCTCCCTGCAGTCGGGGCCGGTGAAGCCCTGGGGGCATTCGCACACATGGCCCTCATCTGCATCCACACAGGTGCCCCCATTCTGGCAAGGGGTCGAGAAGCAGGGATCCGGCACTGGGTGGTTTCCTGCAAGAAAGACAGAGGTCACCAGAGGCTGCACAGAGAGCATGGGGGTAATGGGGCCAAGGGCCCCCTTGTCCAGGCCCACAGCACTCAGTTCTCAGTGCAAGTGGGATTTAAGCCCAAGGCCCACTTTCTGGAAACTGGTTTCTAGTTGCCTCTTACCATCTGAGCCCCCTCTGTGGAGCAGAAGGTGAAACAAGAGTATGGAGAGCCCACGGTGTGCACCAAAGGGCGCAGCTGAGACCAGGGGGCTCCAAATGCTTCTAATCAAGCATAACATGGTTGGAATTTGCCAGATACAGTTTTTGTTGATTTCTAGTTTACTATAAGCAGAGAACACAGTCCTTTTCAACTGATTGACCTTTATTTTATGTCCTACAGGATGGTCTGTCATGGTGAGCACGTCATGAGCACTGGGAAAGGATGTGTCATAAATGTCACTTAGGTCAGGTGGGCTGATGGTGCTGTTTGCATCTTCGAGGTTCCTGCTGATTCCTGTGAATCACTGAGAGCGGCAGGTTGGAGCCACTGCCTGTAGTTACAGATTGGTCAATTTTTCCTTGTTTTCCCTTCCCCTATGATTTTGATGTATGTTCATAGGTGCAAGTACATTAGAATTGCTCTGCCTTTTTGATGACTTGACACCTTTGCCGTAAAAGACCCCTCTGTTCCTGGCAGTATTCCTTTTCCTAAAGTTTTCCTAGAGTTTAATTTGTTTGCTATGAATATAGCCACTCCCAACTTCTCTTGATCAGTGTTTGTCAACCTGTTATTTTTCATTGTTTGGGTGCTCGATTTCTTCATGTGGTTCAGAATTTATCTTTTTAAATAGTTTATGGCAAAATTGACTTTTGGTCGATGTACACTTCTATGAATTTTAACACATGTATAGATTTGTGTTGCCCCTACCACAATCGGGACACAGAACATTCCATTACCCCAAATACATCCTTGTTCTATCTTCAGGGTTATAGACTTTCTCCCCTCCTGAAGCCCGAGCAACTACTGATCTGTTCATCACCACAGCTTTGTTGCTTTAAGAATACCAGAAGTGGAAGATTACTCATGAACAGTATGTAATCTTTTGAGACTGGCTTCTTTCACTCAGCATAAGGCCTCCAAGATCTGTTTCAGTTGCGTGATCAGCAATCATGTATCCCACGAACAGCAAAGGACATTTGGGTTCTCAGGTTTTGGTGGTTGTAAATAGAAATGCTATAAACATTTGTGTATTTTGTGTGAATGTAAGTTGTCATTTCTTTAGGGTTAATAGCTAGGAATGAGATTGCTGGATCATATTATAAGTGTATGTTTAACTTTATGAAAAGCTGCCAAGTTGTTTTCACGGTGGCTAAACATTTGGCATCACCACCAAAAATACGTGAGAGTTCCCACAGTTCTGTGTCCTCACTAGTCAGCACTTTTTATTTTAGCTATTCTGATAGGTTTGTGGTGGTATCTCATCGTGGCTTTAATTTGCAACTCACCAGTGACTAACGATAATGACAAATGACTGCATTTATTCATCTGCTCCTTTGCCTTCCAGATACCCTTTTTGGTTAGATGTCTTGTTTAGATCTTTTGTCCATGTTTTGGTTGGTTTCTCACAGTTGAGCGTGGAGAGTTCTTTCAGAGCTCTCTGTTCTGTTTCAGAACTCATCTGTTCCAGATGCCAGCCCTTTGTCAGACTGAGTGCTTTGAGCACCTCTCGAAGCACGCAGCCTGTCTTCTTGTTCTCTTGACTGTGACTTTCATAGAGCGGCCTGTGTCACTCTGGTGAGGCCCACTTCTGTTTTTCTTTGCTGGAGTGTACTCTCCGTGTCTTATCTAAGCATTGTTCATGTAACCGCAGGTCACACAGATTTTTCTCCAGTGTTTTCTTCTAAGAATGTTATGGTTTTATGTTTTCCATTCAGGTCTATGATTCATTCTGACCTAATCTTGTACAAGGTGTGAGGTTGAAGTTGAAGTTCAGTTTCTACAGAAGAGTGTCTAATTGTTCCAATACCATTTGTTGAAAAGATCATCCTTTCCCCACTGAATTGCTTCCATGCCTTTAAAAACACTTTGGCCATACTTGTATGGGTCTACTTCTGGATCCTCTCTTCTGTTCCATGATGTATGTGTTAGTCCCTTTGCCAATACCACAGGATCTTGATCACTGTTGCTTTATAGAAGTCTTAACACTAAGTAGTATGATGCCTCAAAATGTGTTCTTTTTCAAAATTGTGTTGGTTATCCCAATTCCTTTGCCTTTCCATATAAATTTTAGAACCAGCATATTCAAAGCTACAGAAAACTCTGCTGAGACTTTGATTGGAATTCTGTTAAGTCTATCAATCAGTTTGGGGAGATCTGACATATTTACTATGTTGAGTCTTCCAATCCATGAACATGGATGTCCTTTCATTTATTCAGATCAGCATAAAAGTCCCATACATGTTTTATTAGATTTATACCAAAGTCTTTCAGTTCGGGGGAAGCTATTGTAAATGATATTGTTTTTAATATTTTGGATCAGATTACAATGCCCAATGTTGGGAATTCAAGAGTTCATAGATGACTGTAGGGCTGCAGCCTGAGATCCCCCCTCTCTGCAACCTCCCCATAGTTTCCAGTGCTCTAGCGCTGCCCTTTTTGTCCTTTGGCAAGAGAGCTGGGGCTTTTATTGCCCCACACTACTACTTTCTTCCTGTGAGTGCACTCATGTCTTAGCCAAGTGGTGAGTGGACAGAGAAAAACAAAATTAAGGAAGTTGCCCAGTCTTGCGGAGCTGTAGGACTTCCAGTTGGAGAGGAAGTTTCCTCCTGTCAGTTTGGGCCCCCGAGGGAAACCCCCCCTTTGCTGCTATTGTTTGTCCTGCTTCTCATGCCCAGTGAGTGGCTGCTCTTGGAGCTCTTTCCATCCATCTGATGCTCACTTCTGGTCTGGGAGCTGCTTTGAGTCCAGGCGGTGGGGACATCAGAGGGAAAAAATTGTGAACTCACCACTGGTTCTGTGGTGCTTCGAAGCTTGGTCCTCTTCCCCAGTCCACCTGCTACTATTTATTTTTCAGAGTCCTCAGATAGTTACTCCATGCATTCTGTCCAGGGTTTCTGGCTGCATTCAGTGGGAGACACAAGGTAGAATGTGCTTACTCCATCTTATCCCAAACCAGAAACCCATTCCAATTTTCAAATTATTTTCAAATTATCTGTGTCTTTATATTTATAGCCGGTTTCTTGTAGATAGTATATAGTCACATCTTTCTTTTCAATTCAATTTTACAATGTCTGCCTTTTCATTGGTGTGTTTAACCAATTAACGTAACTATCAATATGATTAAACCTACCATCTTGCTCTTGGCTCTCATTTGTCCCAATTACTCTTTATTCCTTTTTTCTTCTTTTCCTGCCTTCTGGATAAAGTGTTTTTAGGATTCCATTTTATTTCCAATACTGGTTTGTTGGCTGTAACTATTATTATTATTTTTTCTTTTTCCTCTGAGTTTATAATGTATATCTTTAACTTATTGTAGTCTACCTTCAAACAGTATTACACCACTTCATACATAATGCAAGGCCATTACTAAATTATTTCCATCTTTCCCTTCCTATCCTTTATGCCAGACATTGATAAACTATGGCTTACAGACCAAATCTGGCCTGCCATCCATTAAAAAAAAAAAAAAAAGTTTCATTGGGAAACAGCCATGTCCATTCATTTATGTATGTCTATGGCTGGCTGCTTTTCCATTGCACTGGTAGAGTTGAGTATCTGTGACCACATGGCACATAAAGTCCAAAATACTAATATCTGGTTCTTCACAGAAAAAGCTCATGTACTCTGCTTATTTAAGCTATTGAGGTCATACATTTTATTTCTATAAATGTTATAAACCCCATAACATATTGTTATTTTTTTGTGTTAAAATTATCTTTAAAGAGAGGGGAGGAGTCAAGATGGTGGAGAAGTAGCAGGCTGAGACTACTTCAGGTAGCGGGAGATCAGCTAGATAGCTTATATAAAGATTGCAAACACCTACAAATCCAACGGGAGATCGAAGAGAAGAAGAACAGCAATTCTAGAAACAGAAAATCAACCACTTTCTGAAAGGTAGGACTGGCGGAGAAGTGAATCCAAAGCGATGGGAAGATAGACCGCAGGGGGAGGGGCCGGCTCCCGGCAAGCGGCAGAGCAACGGAGCACAAAATCAGGACTTTTAAAAGTCTGTTCCACTGAGGGACATCGCTCCAGAGGCTTAACCAGGGTGAAGCCCACGCAGGGTCGGCGTGGCCTCAGGTCCCGCAGGGTCACAGAAGGATCGGGGGTGTCTGAGTGTCGCAGAGCTTACAGGTATTAGAACGGGGAAGCCGGCTACAGAGACAGAGCCGAGGAGTGAGCTCTAAGCTCGGGTTTACCTTGAACCGGTCGCAGGCTCGGTCAGCTCGGAGCGCGGCTGGAGGCCAGGGTGACGGGAGCAATTGGGCGCTGTTCTCTGAGGGCGTACTGAGGAGTGGGGCCCCAGACTCTCGGCTCCTCCGGCCGGAGACTGGGTGGCCGCCATCTTCATTCCCGTCCTCCGGAACTCTATGGAGAGCGCTCAGGGAACAAAAGCTCCCGAAAGCAAACCCGAGCGGATTACTCAGCCCGGCCCCTGGTAAGGGCGGTGCAACTCCGCCTGGGGCAAAGACACTTGAGAATCACTACAACAGGCCCCTCCCCCAGAAGATCAGCAAGAAACCCAGCTAGGATCTACCAAGTTCACCTACCAAGGAGTGCAGTTTCAATACCAAGGAGAACAGCGGAATTCCAGAGGAGGAGAAAGCAAAGCACGGAACTCATGGCTTTCTCCCCATGATTCTTTAGCCTTGCAGTTAATTTAATTTTTTTTCTTTTTCAATTTTTTTTTCTCTTCTTCTGCTAAATTTTTTTAACTTTTCTTTTTTAACTTTTTTTAAACTAGTTTATCTAATATATCTATATTTTTTCCTTTTTATATTTTTTCATTATTGGTTTTCTTT